ACTGCTTATCTTAGAGTGCAGTAACTGTATGGAACAAGCACATAAAAAATAACAATGGTACATTGCGTGTCAAAAAAATGGTTTCTAAATAAGTAATGACGATCACTTAAAACTGACATGTTAATTTGACATGATAAAACATTATTGACGTTGAAACCACATAGTGACACTAGAGGACAAGCAAACTCACCTACTATAAATACAGAAACCAATCAATGCCAAAAGTGACATCAACGACAAGAATGTGCTTGCTACTGCAATAACGACACAAACTCATTGTTATTCACTAAAATTCCTTCCTTTTTTCACGTATCTCCTTGCCAAGACACCATTTTGGCGATTACTTGAAGTCCCCATAGAGTCAATTCCTGCATAAATGTCCCGCCCTCTGGCACAATTATTTATCCACAAGTGAGCTTTTGCTTGGGATATTTCAAAAATCAATTTTGCAAAATGATTTAAACCACAAGTTTCAGGTAACGTTTTCTGTGCATTAAGTTTTAGGGCCATTGCAATAATAAATCAGTGCTAACACTTAAGTCACTACAAGCTGCCGCAATGGACTCCTAACTTGCCGATTTTGTAAAAACAAAGCATAAAAACAAAAAGGCGTCACAATTTTTGCTTGATATTATACAAATGTTTTTGCATAAATCTAACACCTGTTATAAACTAAATAGAGTACTATAAAACAAAAACAAGCCAAGTCCACTGTAATATTAACAGATAATTTAATCTAGAAAATGCGAATTACAACAAATAACAGAATTTTATTTACGAGTGTACCTTACGTTATCCGCTTACCATAGGCAGAAAATCTTTGCTTGACTGCATATTCGACTTTAAGAACGTTGTTTCTTATGTATCACAACATATGTATTTTTGTATTTACGTCAGTTTAAAAAACTGCCTCAGATGTTGGAAACACATAGAAGACTAGTGAAAGAGGGCAAATGCGACTATTTTCTGCATATTGAAGAATTATTTGTGCCAAACTTAATTTACGAATAATTGATGCAAAACTTGGATTACATGTGCTGGTTAGTAGCAACTTCAAACAAATCTATTTTTTATCGTATTAGCTTGCTTGATTATATCCCTTTTCCCATTATTTACGCAAAAACCTCATTTTATTTATCAAATTTCCATTTTACATGATATTATGTTAATGCAACAGATGACAAGAATATTGCATATTTTACAAAAGACATACCATTTTCAGGTATAAGTTCCTCTTTCCAGCGCTATAAATTTTAAAAATTAGGAGTTGTTTCTTTTTGTTTGTGGTATTTTAATTGCTCTTTTCGCTCTCGATTTTGGTAGCAGGCCAATTCCTTACAGTACATTTTTTTGCAAGAGTATTATGCCTTCTTTCATCTTCAGGATAGTATTGAGGTGCTACTTTGATGGCAGCGGAAAGCTAATCCGATTTTGAAGAGGCGCATGCGCTGTGGGTGATAGAATCGGTAAAAAACCTTTCATAAGTGCTTTGATTGAGATTTACCTCGGGCAATTGTCCCAGTTCAGTGTTCTGCCAGAAAGCTATTAACAACTAAAGCAACACTAGCTATAAAACGTTCGAAAGATTCCGTTAAGGAGTAGTCTACCATACTGGTTTGAAGTACTACTTAGGTAAGCATGGAATACCACCTCTCTGTCAATACTAGCTGAATAGAACACTGATAGACATGTGACTGGGCAACATGTAAATGAGAACAAGCTGGTACAGAGAAACTGATGAGAAGCTTTATCCCCAGGGAATTATGTTAAATTTTGTCCTTTGCTTTATGATTTGCTTTTGGGCCAGAGTGGTTACAACCAGCGATGAATATAAGTGAATATCTCCACAATTCACCGTCCTCCAACGCAATTCCCAAACAGGATAAAAGTCCCTATTCAGCAGATTTGCTAAGAGGGATCAGTGGCGTTGCAGTCAAGTATCTTCCTAATCGCATGGGAATTCCATGACGCGTACGGTTAGCTCATGGATTTTTTCGCAGTACACCGATTCTGTTGCGATGGCTGACGCAAAAGGTATCCTAAGAAAAGCCATCGCTAGTCTTAGAATCACCGGCCTAAAAGTAGTGTTATGTGGCAAAGATCCGGATTTAAAGTAGTCCCGTGAGAACAAGGTTTCACGTTCATTCCTCCTTGTCGTGTTGTCCTCACTTCAGTGCTGTTTGGCTATAAAACTATTTAAGTTTTATCTAGATAGTAGAGAGGTAGAATAGGTGTTGCGGACTTGCCCGACTGACACCTCCATAAAGGTATCGTGGACAGCTCCATAACAAAATTTCCAAATGATTCAAGGCTAGTGTCACTTCCCTTGTTAATAGCATTCCTGTAGATCACGGAATTGGGGTAGTTGCCGACGTGCACTTCATTTTTAACCTTTCCGTTAGGGACCCTAACAGGTTCTCCCATCCACTGTACATAGCCTTCTTACGTCACTTTAAGTTTACACTAAAGTGACATATCAAGGAATTTTGTGCTGTAGGATCGGATTTGCTTCCTGCTGCAGCCACTTTAGTGCACTGAGTCTTTCCTGAAGACGCAATATGGCATAATACTAAAACGAAATCTGTATTCCCATGCAGCCCACTGGATGATCACTAGCAGAATCTTTATCCCCCCGAAACAAAAACAAAGATTTAAGCAAACAAATCATTACTACCACATACGCAACCATTTATTAATTCACTTTACTTTGAGTGTATTTTTCACTTTAGCCCATCCACAATCTCTTGATTTAGTGTCGTCATCACAACTATTAAGTCAGTTTCTTATGTTAACATTCGCCAAACATTTGCGCGGTTATCCGTTCAGCAAGTCAAGTGGATTTAAAATCTGGTTTTTTTAAAGTTATTTGTAATTAAAGCACTTAGAAAGTAGGTTTGTGTTTTTTCTTTGTTCGTTTTTTTGTTTTTCTTTGTGTCCTTCTCATCAAAATATTGCCTCTGGTACCCTGCCGAATCAAATAGCTTTGATCGAAAAATTTTCATTTCCACGGCTTAAGGTTACAGAAATTGGAATAAGTTTTGCTGTTATTAAGGTTTTGACGTTTTTAGAGTCTATAGCGTGACGTAATCCCACAACCATAAATTCATGACAAATGGATTTGTCTCGAAATAATACTGTTATGACAACTTAATTTTGGCACAAAAGTTTCTTTATGCCGTTTTTAGTTTTCTAACGTTGTGTGAAAGATTATTGTGCAAAGGATTCTGGTATTTGATGTACTGTATGGAAAACATTTTTCTGTTGTTGTTATTAGTAGACCGAAAGTACATTTATCAATTCTAAAAATACCCGTTCTATCTCTTATTGGGTAGGTTAGAAACAAGGCCTTTAGAAGAATAGAATAATGAGCTTTGCCAGTGTCTTGCTTTAGTATTTTTTTGGAGAGGTCGCCTCCTAAGTTTTTATCTCATCGTTTTTTTTCCATGCAATATTACTGCAATATGATTGGGTTTGTTTATTTACCCTTCAGTGTGAAAAAGCGCACTAAAGGACAGGAAAATGTGCTTTCTGAAAATGGCGCCAATTAAAGTCTCGGCATTACTATCCGCCCGCCAGTCTTCCTTGGAGGAAATCAGTCATTACAGCTCAGACGTATTTTATTTTTTATATGGCATTAACAGTTATTTGGCCTAGTTTTTTCCCCGTGTCGCCTACAAATGATGTGTGAGCCAATTTTAGCAGATCGAGTCGCCAAATGAATATAGTGATGGTGGCTAACGTATTAAGCAGAAATATATTAGGGTCTTACAGTCGTTGTAGGTTGCTTTTATAAAAATGTATACAGAATTACATTTTTACTAAGAAATAAACCTATCAGTAGCAAACTGTTGCATCGGAAATGTGTAACTTATAGAAGTGCCTGTAAGGGGACGATTTTTGATCGTAATGGATAGAAGTCTAAAAGTTTCTTGGGTGATAAACTTTGGTTTAAGAGCTTACTCGTTACTCATTTCACAAACCAGTCTATTTCATCCAGTGGACCTTTCCGTGAAGAAATGCACATTTTGTTGCTCCAAGGTCATCTAATAGGTAGCAATAAGTCAAAGAAGACTAAGAAACTCAAGCAAGGATCTGTTTCCTTACTACTTGCAGAAATATTCCTATACATTTTTGACCTATATTAATAATTTTATGTGGTTAGTTTTGGCTGCCGATGGATTTGGCTCATGCGAAATGTTTCTGTGTTTTCATATCACATGTCGACTGATACATTAGAAGACAAATAGGTAATTGTCAGTTGTTTATAGAAGCCTGTGACGTGCCTCATTGAAGACACCGAGTTGACAATTATTCAAAGTAGCTTCACAAACTTCTCAAACATGTTCCTTATTTTTATTAAAGTGCTAATTGAACATCAGGAATCTTGTTCTTATGAATGACAAATTGCCGCAATTTATGTATCCCTGCAGCGGGCTTTGCTGCATGCAAGATATTTTATTTTCACTGAAATCAAGCACCTCAGTATCAAAGCTTTAAAGCATCAGTGAGAATAAAATGGCTCAGGATAACGATTTAACGTGATTAAAGGGAACCAAAAAGAACCAAATATTGACATTTAGATGTTGAAACTTTGCAGTGCAACAAGATAATGAAGTTTTAAACTAAATTCGGCGAGTGATTTTGAAATTTTTGAACTGAAAGTGTTCGTAGCGTGACCGTAAACTACATCATATATTACTCATAATAAAGTGAATCGAATCCACACCCGCTTCTATGGTTTGAAAAGGTTACTGCTCACCTAATTGTCTTGCTTTGGTTGCTGCTTCATGAAACAGGAACGTCCTGTAGTGTTGACAACCTTGTTGTACCATCAATCATTCCAATAAAATGCACCCAAAAATAAAGCAAATCAAGCATGTACGCTAGCATTTCATTATGCATGCCTCACGGATTTGTGGAAGAGTTAAGAAAACTAACAAAACTGTGCAAAATCATCTCGATTGAAAGTCTTAAATGTGGTGCAACTTCTAATTTAGCTTTCATTCACCCATCGGATCACGCTGATCATTTGCGCCCTCGCAAGGCAAGTAGAGCAAGAACAGGAGGAGTCCCGACACTAATAAGCAGCCGCCGCACCAGTAGAAAGTACCATCTAGACTTCCAGTAGAGTTCTTAATGTAAGCTGAATGAGGAAATATTATCAATGGTTGGAGGAGATGTCTGTTCAAAAAACATCGTTGAAAGGCACTCCTACCTGCCACAACAGGTCCGATTACTGCAGCGATGCCCTTGATGATGCTAGAGTTACCCACTGCCATGGTGAGTCTGGAGAGGCCCAGAAAGCGGACGAAAAGTAGAGGTTGCAGAGGACAAGGAACCGCTTTAAAATGGGAATGGGCTTTTAAAAGAGTTTATGACTGAAAATAATAAATCCATTTTTGCGACTTGATACAGAAGTGTTGAAGGCGATTAATTTGCAAAGCCAGAGTTCAATCGAAAAGAACCAAGAACTCCGGAAAAGTTATTTAGAAAAATATAGGAGAACAGAAAAACACATGAATTTGCTTTGCTTGATAAAGTGGTGGGTAATCAGTGGAAGAGGTTTTTGCAGGGGTGATTATCTTTAGAACTCCCAACCGTATCTTGCGCGAGTGTTCATTTGGGGCGGTAACGTAGCGAGACATTTAAAGTGGTTTTAATGTATTTTCAAGTAAAAGAATAAATACGTGCGAAAAATCTACCAGCACCCTACTCTGCCTAGAAATTAAGTTAAAACGATGTAATTGGAGGCGTCAACTGACCACAAAGAAAACCCAACGAGCCGGAATAGATTGCAAGCGTGATGAAGGTGTGGGGGAGGAAAGGCAAGGCAAAATGACACACTGCGCAAAGAAGGCACGACATCGCGGTGACAATGACGATGTCCACGTGGGGAAAATTTGCTAACGCACCCCTAACAAGACGACCCAGTGTGTGTAGGATGCCCAAAGTGGTAATGAGCCACATGGCACTGCTGCGAGTCAGTATAGCGTCTAGAGCAAGAGTGAAGAAGTACGCGAAAGGCACAAAGTAGGCCAGCTGACATACTACAAAGGAGGAGCAGAGGACGAGGAAGGAGAAGTTGTGGAAAAGTGTGAGGTCGAATATGCATATTAGGCGACGTCGTAGCGAGGCGGGTGTTTTCCTGACATTACTGCCCATGGAGGCAACTGTTGGTGAGACGGTGCTTAGAAGGACCGAATCATCAGCAAAAGCTGCCTGTTTTTCCAGTAACTAAAGGTGAGTGTTCACATCCATGCGGCGGTTTGCAATGCCGCGGTCCAGAGAGGGCAGAATGTGCAGACTGGATGGGAAGAGACTGTCGGGACGGTCGAGCGGCTTCACGACTACAGTCTTTGTGAAGAAAGGAACTTTCGAATGCAGGTAGCTCGGCTCCAGTCGAAAGTGACTCAGGCCATCAGGAGCGCTCTTGAGAATGTCTCCATCTCTTTGGTCATTGCTCAAAGCTTAAGTGAAAAAAACGATTATTCACACTGCACAATTTCATCAACGCGTTTCAGTTACTACTCAGTTTTTCACAAAATTAAATTGCTTTAACTGCGCTCATTTTTAGCACTTATCCAAATCCGCATACAGTATCACATTTGAAAGTGTTTAAATTTCAAGCACGCCACTCGTCATTAGGACTTGCAGTGTAATACATTAATTGTTTGCTCAATTCTCGGTTTTGGTAACGGTCTACTTAAGAGCTCCAGACGGCTTGGCCTTAAGTCATGCAAGCAGCCCCGGTTCCTTCTGTAAGTCGACAAAACATATTTTGCCTAAGCATTATGTCTTCTTTTGTCTTCAAGGAAGTCTTGAGGCGCTACATTGGCGTCAGGAGAAGGTGAACCCCTATCCTGTTTTCTACTGTCGGGTGATGGACCTTAGCACGGCAGATGTACATACTTCGCATATGATAAAGTCTATGACGACCCCTGGCAGAAGGTGTAAAGACGATGTCCAGCTTTGGCAACTAATTCAATCACTCTTTCCGTGGAAGCACTATTAAAACTATAAGCGGCACTAGTCATGAACCACTTGGAAAAGTTAGTTACGGATCTGTCTACCGTTTCTCTATGAAGCTACTAATTACTCTAAAATTAGCTACCTCCTCCACTTCTCTACTAGCTGGATAGGATCCGGATAGGCTTGGCTGGGAATCTGTTGAGTGAGAAAAAGTAACAAGGAATAATAGAAGCGGAATCCTACCCCCGCAGAACTATGCTAAATCCCGTCTTCCCTTACATGGCTGTGCCTTTATACCAGTGTACCTACAACAAGACGTGGAAATGTGTAACGACCGGTACATTCCCCGTTTCTGAATTTTGCTCCCACTTAGGAAAAAAACTCCATATCAGTAGTATTGATAAGAGGGATCAGTGACGTTGAGGTCAAGTATTTCCCCTGTTGTGTGAGAATTCGATGACTGGTATGGTTGGCTTGGTTTGGCCAGGTTTGGTTAATTGTTTAACTCCCGGTTTTGGTAACTTGTCACCCAGGGCAAGCCTGTACCTCCAATCCCATTTGAAAGTCAACAATACATTCTCAGTCCAAATATTACTATGTATTTTTTCGTCTTCAGATGAGTCTTGGGGGCTGCATTGAAGGAATTGGACCAATTCTACTTAATTTTATTGCGAAATAAGTCCTCTACATTCTCCGATAAGGTCTGCATTATGTTCCTCTAGAATTTCTTCAAAAATGCCTTTCTGCGTTATGTGTTTAATTGCATTATTTCAAAATCTTAGAGATTGTCTGGTCGAAGATGACGAATACCCACCGGAATTGTTCAGCATCAGCGATAGTCATCAGCTTTTATCGCAGCAGGAAAAACCATTTAGCTTATCTGGAGCACTTCAACTGTTTGAATGTCTTTTCCAGTCATAATTATATTCACCTTTACACCCCCCAGTTCAGCTAATTTGAAGAAATTCTTCCTAGGATCAATTTAAGCAAAGAATAAAAAAATATTTCGAATTATAATTTCGGTTGAGATTTAGGACCATGAGATCTGGCTAGAGTAGTTCATTTTTGTGGATTTCGATTAAGACACGTTGGGCTAGCGCTTTGAGGACGTTTAGAAAAATTTTAAAAACTATCGTTTGCTTACATGAATAAGTTTATCATCGTTAATCTACTTTTTTTAAGGGGTTAAGTTTCAATATCTCGTCACTGTTAACATTAATGGCACTCACTCGAAAAATTGGGTAACCCAAATAAGTTCAGAAATTATTTTGGAGCTAATAATGGCAGTTAGAGGAACTTTGACGACATTCATGTGTCAATGCAACAGACCACATGATCGAAGTTTTTCAGCCAAAATCCGTCTCGCAGCATCCACCTCCTGGGCCACGATTCTGTCCCACAATCCACTGTGCTTGGTGTGCTGACTCCCATCTAACTGACTTCCTGGAATGGTCGGCACTGAGGCAAAAATCTCTGCCAATTGCTCTTGCAGCGGATGCGATGAGTTTTTTGGTTGTGACTGTAAAAACAAATAAAAATAACTCCAACAAAAAGGCACAAGAAAGAAGAGCTTAATCAGTGTAGACCTACCGTGAACCCCAGAACTTCCGACCCTCTGATAGTTTCCAAGCCAGATCTGAAGGTTTTGCCAATATGGTTAATGGGATAGGTGGGCATATTCTCCATATCCAGAATCTCATTCAGGGTGGCCGCCTCGATTTCTAGTGGTCGGATAATCAAGCCATTCACGAAGGTGGTGCCGGTCAAAATGAAAGAGTCGACTAGAACGGCGTGTCTCCAACCGATTGGCGTGTCGAAACGGGTCATTAGAGAGTTTAGCGCCAGTGGAACCACGATGTAGCCCACCCCAGTGCCCGCAGACGCAATGCCGGAGGCTACTCCTCGGTAGCGCTCAAAGTAATATGTCACTGCAACCACTGCGCAAATGAACGTCGAACCGAGACCCAGGCCTGAATGAGTAAAAGTAGCTTGAGAAAGGCGAGTGAGAATAATATGAACTCAGTTAGCGTCACGTAAATTAAAACACGATTTGGCTGTTAATCGGGCTGTCCGTGGTTCTGTTTCCATGGTGGTGAACGCGGGTTTATGCTAATGTCCCCCCATTCGGCTGCTCCGTATTGATAGTCAGGCTAATTCCAGGTTCACATGCCTTACAACGCTTTTAGTGATTGCCTTCATTGAAGATTTTTAGGCGACAAGATATCCCTAAACGAAATTCAAAGTGACTTTTAACTGTCGGATGTAAAATTGAAATATATTTTTATTTTGACAAAAGGGTTGACTGAAGGGGAACCAGTATTTAATAGATTTTAAGTAAGAAAATCGCTTAATTTCTACCTTTAAACATGGATATTGATAATTATCTGTTGTAGGAGGATATGTGCTTCTGAAAATGCTGCATGAATCCAATTTTTGCAATATTGCACGATAGATCATCTACGCCAATTGCAGTACACAGTTTGATGGAAGCGGTTCCGATAAGTTTACCCATTTTTAATGCTTGCAAAAGGTCGGGAAACTTTTGGAGTAACTGAATCCACAAATCCTAATTTTCTATGGATTTATAATGCTCATATTATCTGTTTACCTTTTCATTCTGGTTACGCAGATACTCAAAGCTCCGCTTTTGTACTTCTGCTGGGTGATGTTGCCCTTAGCCTTAACCCTTCCGTGCCTTAGCAATACATATTTCGCCCTAATATTAAGTCTTATTTTTTCCTTCAGAGAAGTCTCGGAGCACTTCAATGGTAGCAGTGTGGAACGAACCTGATCTTAATAGACAACTACCCAGATTTCTATTGCTAAAGTGTTAAACCTTGGTGTGCCATAAAATCTGTGACGACTCCTAAAAGAAGGGTTCGAAGTGACGTCTACCTTCACCAACTGTCCCAATCCCGTGGTCTGCAGGTAATCTATTGACATTTGAAGCGACACCATCCGTGAACTTCATGAAAAATTTCGTTACGGGGCAGTCTACGGTACTTGCATGAAGATATCGGTCCAGTCAACACGGGATACCTCCTCCACCTCTCTACTAACTGATTAGAACCCAGCCAGATAGATGGGCATGGCTGGGCAGCACTGAAGTAAGGATAAAGTGGGAAACAGGAATAGATGCGAAACCCTACCCCACGGAACTATTTTAAATCCCGTCATACATTAAATGCCTCCTTTTGGGCCAGTGCTCTCACGAATTCCGATGGACATACGAAATGGCCAGAACATTCCCCTTTCCGCAAACATTGTTCCCAAATGGAATGAAACTCCAGATTCTGTAGAATTGCAGTCAAACGTCTTTTTGGCTGAACGCAGATTCGATGACTGAGGCGGTTAGTTCTTGGACGTTTTTTTCATACAGTACCGACTCTGTCGTGATGGCCGATGTAGGAGGTTAACCAAGGGGAGCACCAGGGACGACGCTCAAAAGAGAAGAGAGGAGATACATGGTACTTTGCCCGTTTGCTAAACTCTTTATTTTGGTTTTAAGGCTCCGCGATTGTGCTTCTGTTGAGCGTCACAGCCTCCGAGCCCGGCTAGTGATCTTCGGGCCTTCTCTACTTCGGTAATGCATAATTTGCCCAAACTATTGTGTCTTCTTTCGTCCCCAGGTAAGTCTCGGTATGCTAAATTTTTCACGTAAAAATCTCCTGTTAACTAATTTTGTAGTTATTTAGTATGCTTTAACTAGGTTTTTAAACCAAAGCTAAATGTAATCGCATTTTGAAACATCTTCGGCTTTTCAAAAATAGCTGGGAAATGTACTCAGTGGGCAAGTCTAATTATTCGGCTTATTTGGACATACACAGGGCCAGTGCGACAATTATTGAATAGGAAGTTGAACGCAAAAATCTTATCACCTTACGCGTAAAACGGCGAAATCAACTCCAATAAGGACTGGAAATGCATCATGTCTAATACAGTACTTACTGCATCTATAATTTATATGTGAACTCTCGTAACAGTTAATTTACTAACGCTGGAGTTGTCTACAACCCCAGAGAACTCTCCCTTTTTCGTGCCTGATTCCCAAGCACTCTAGAGGGTCTTGAAACTCGTGCTGATTTGCCAATGCCATGCACAAAATGATTTAAATGTGCTAAAACTAAGGCCAATCGAAATAGCATAAATACGAGAGACGGGGATTACCACGTGTGTCCAGCGCCCCATCAACAGGTGCCTGCGCACGTACCGCACTCCCAGATTACTAGCACCGATCATCATTGAAGACATCCGTAACTGATGTCCTTATCTCTACAGGATTTGTTCCTATACGTCTACGTAGCATTGACTACCCGTTAAAATATTCCTGCGAGTCCCCTTTCCTACACCAGCATTGGCGCAATTAAGGCTTCTAGTTAAAAGACCCCACCCATTCTGACGCACGAGATGATGGCTTCGATACACAAACCAGGACCGGTTTTGTGGTCTGCAGTATTTACGCATTCAATTTTCTAAATTCGCATTTTCCTTCTCTATTTTAATGTGATTCCATTCTTCAGTTATTTGAATGATTCTCAAACAAACCTCCCCACAGTCCCGAAGGGCATAAAATATTTGCAAATTTTTCGCTTGACGAACCCTCGGAAGGTTTACTAAAACAAAATCCTGCTTTTACGAAATAATTTGGACTAGCTACGTAGCCGTCATCCCATCAATAAGGAAATGAAATAATAACAATGCCACTACAAAAGAAATAACTCGTTTGACCTTGACCAGGAGAAGACGAGGAATGGCATAGTACCTTAACACGTATTTTGATTTGCAGGAATAAGATAAAAAATTTCTCGAAAGGCTGGCAAAATTATTCAGTTGTGGAAAAATGACGGCAGAATTCGATTCTCGAATACAACTTTGATAACTTGGTGGGTGTAATACTTTGACTGTTTAAAATTTCGTTTTTCGCGGCCTGACCTCTGGACCATGCCGGTAGTCCTTCCGCCCTTCTGTAAGTCGAGATACATTTTCTTTCATGGTCGTAAGCCTTTTTTCGTCTTTGGATAAGTCTCGAAGTACTACAGTGCATATATACATTTGAAATATCGGACGTTTTACCCTAAGTAGCGAAAAATGAAGTGCTGATACCTTTCTGTTTTCCTTCTATGCACGAAAGTTTTCTGCCTCAAGTATCCGAGTAAGCAATTAACAGTAAAATTTGGCACTCGTTGGTTTCGCTGTCACAAAATCGGAAGGCCGTAAGGTACGGATCACGAGATGTCTAAACTACGTTTGCTAATGCCAGGAAAATGGTCATCAAATCTTAGTAGTCTATGTGAGGATACCTAAAGATTTTGTAAGAGGTGAAGGCGATGACTAAACAACTCAACTTATTCTCATAAGTTGTGCCAAAAATAAAACCGATCTACCGCTCAGTTGGTTAGTCGATAAGTTAACTTAAGACACGGTCTCTTCTCAATTGAAATGTATTGCCTTTTGACCTATCCGATAATGTTCGTGAAACTCTCCATTGGGTACATAATCATGTGTTCTTAAGTTTTAGAAAGGTTCTTCTGAAAACAAATCAGGAGTTTTCCTATGAATGGTCAAATGGGATCATTGTCGGAGTATATGAAGGTCTGGACAGTTCCTAAATGGAGTAAAATGCCAACAATCCATTTGCTTCTCAACATACCAGACAGCACTCTGTAGAAAAAAGACCATGCCAGAAATGTCCGTGAAGAAACTTGCCACCATCATTGAAAATCCGGCGAGCAGACCTCCCACGCAGGCGACCCATTGAGACCCCAGCAGATTCACCAACAAACTTGCACATCCCACTGAAATTAGCAAAAAATATCTTAATTTGTGAAAAGGGTACACGGAACAATTAATGTAGGAATAATGTTCTGATCTCACAAAGCCTACTCATTTTAGTTTGCTGTTACGATCATTATGCCGACCTTAATAGTTAAGTCTTACCTACAATTTTTCCCAATAAAATACCAGTGTAAGAAATGGTAATAATGTGAGTGAAGTGGGTAAATTTCGTAAGAAAAATGCATTACTTCTGCAATACCTTAATTGCTTGTTTAACTCATGGTTTTGTTAGCGGGCCAAATAGGGACTCCCCCATTGCACCTTTGCTGGTGGCTTGGCCTGCGGGCCATGCCTATATCCCTAATCCCCTACTGTACGTCGACAATGCACACTCTGCCGAGAATTGTCTTCTTTAGTCTTAAGGGGAGTATCGGGCTGCTACAGTTTCTATGGTCAACATTACTATATGTTAGTGACTGCTTGCCAGATCATTTTGAAGCACCCTGAAGTCACCGTAAACTTGTTTTCTACAAAATGAATGATTATGTATACAACTTTAGGCATCATATAATTTGGGTCTCACCAGCCGAACGGTAAATTTAGCTTCAAAATCGCTTAAGAACAACAAATTACATCTATTTCCAACCTATTAAGACTTCAATGTCAGATAAAAAACTAAACAAAATTAACGCATGATGAACAACAAAAGCAGAATATGGCCAATGGTTAGATACTATATGTCCTTTAAAGTAAGACACTGATTATTAAGCACTATGATGTAGTTGCTAATCACCCATAACCCTCGAAGCTTCTGTTTTCTCTCATATGACAATCGAAAATTGGACTTCCAACCAAGTCTTTGATTTAGGCTGAAAAAAATATTTATTAGCTGTACTCTTCACTGAAATTGCTCATAACAGATCTTCAAATAAGATCACTTTTGAGTTAGCGGTTGCTGTGCCATCGGAAAGTTGCATTGCGAAACACGGTCCCATTCTTGCAGACACTTCAATATCGTAGTCTGCTTATGTGTAAGCTTTCAATTTCCATGACAACAACCAGTAATTGTAAATTTCGCCAAAATCTCGATATTTTGCCCATATAATAAAGTGTCCCTAAAGCCCATTGGAATAAGTTTTAAAGCAGGTTTCGGTGTAGGTAAGCTTGCAGATTATCACGGGAATAAAAAGAAATTCCTTGAAAAATTACGGTTTTAGTTCCTAGTCTCGACACAATATGAAGGGAATTATTACTGAGAGGTCCTAACATTTTCACATTGGCGTCAAATATGTGCGTTGCCCGATTATATTGCAAGTCAACAGGTCATAAGTCTGTGGCGCGTGCTCGTCAGTTTAACCTAACTGGATGTAACAATTCCTGCCACAAACAGGTCGGCTAAGCTTAATACGGAAAAGTAAATGTAGGAGGTTCCTCGTCAGAGAAGAACTACGCTTTCGGCTTCCCAGCGGCATTAAGATTGGTGGCATACTAGAGTGTTAAAATACTATTAGGCCTTATTTTTTCGGAACATTTGACAGTATGTTGTGGGCTATATCGTAGACGGATAGCGTCATTGTCAAAGTAACGACCGATTTTTATTATGGATCAATTAAAGGTTCAAGTTCTGCGTTACAATGTACCACATGGATTTTGAATTATCGGGCTAATAGGACAAGGTTATTTGCCCTTAACATACTTGCTGTGACATAGAGACAGGACTGAATCGCCCCAGGGAGGGTTAAATTCTCCTCGGTTTAGTTACCTTTCCTAAAGTAGGTGTCGTTAGAGACGCCGGCGTAGACGACGCCATAGCCGCTGACAGTCCCATCGCAGAGCAGCTGCATGCAAAATGAGGCGACAAGCACCACCCAGGACCAGCCTTTATCACGATGCTTAATCTGAAAGGACAAGGTTCTTTAATCCATCTTTTTCAAAGTCATGGAGGAGCCCAACAAAGTCGCTGGAATGAATTAAAATATAAGCTTATTTGATAATTAATTTGTTGCACCATCTTTAACCATACAAACAAACAGGTTAGGAAGGATACACCGAAGGCATTTAATTTGTAGGTCATTATCAGTAAAATCTTTAAATTTGAGCAAATAAATGCTGGATACCCTTTTAAAAGAGGTCCAGTGACCAGTTCCTGCAATAATAATTCCAGATTTTGAATTTCTGCATTTTATTCGACTGGGTGCATTGGTGTAGTGCTTTTATTATTTGTCTAACCCTTCGTTTTGGTTTTGCAAGCACTTAAGGCTCAGCCTTTGCACTTCCTCTTAGCGACGTGTCCTGAACCACGCCCATAACCCCCTGGCCCTTCTGTGCGTCGACAATGTATATTCTGTTCTCAGGAAAGACTCAGGCCGCTACATTTGAGCTCGAAGTATTTAAACCATAAAGTGTCTGGATGTTCTTGTGCAAATATTAAATGTTTATAACACGTTTTTAAGGCAGAGAATAGCGTAAATAACTAAGCCGAAAGAAATGTGAAGATATTGGAAAGATAAATTCACGTTTTAGGTTATAAAACCCATTGGGTTTTCGTTAGATTCGGATTAATGCTTAATTAATGAACAAGCAAATAAATAATGTTACAGCACGCGCTTAGAATTAAAAGGAATTGTATATTATCTTTCGATTATTTAGCACCGAAAAGACAACTCAGCGAATCGATCATACAAATAGGAACATTTGGTGTTTTAAAAACAAATAAGTTTGTATACTTAAAACAAATAGGTAAAAAAAGTAGAATGTCAAAATTTCTGCTTAATCATAACTAAAATGATGTGAGCCATCAATTTCTTTAACAGGCCTGTTTTTATAAATGTGTCTTACAATCAGCACCATTTTTAGTATTAACTGCTAGTTTCTGATGGTTTTTGCAGCCCGTTATCTAGAGAGCATGTTATTGAGGAGATGTCTAGTAAAAAACGGTTTATTATGTGCAATTTTTTACTTTTCTATGTTATTAAATGGAATATTGCCCTTAATAATAGACCGGTGGAGTTTAACATGCAACGATATGCATACTACATGGGCAGTCTTGTCTCTTAAGTCTGGTCAAAGACATTAAAAATGTAACTTGTTTTAAAAGACATTCTTCGACACTGGATGGAAAGTCAAACGTCGTCTATGCGCCGCTGAGTAGAATTCTTATTGTTGGCGATTATTTTATCACTTTTCTTATCTATGCTCCTAAAGTCCATATTTAGTCTTGTAGCTCAAATTTATCAAGTAAAATCATTCTTACTGTTAATTGATCCTATTTTTTGAAGTTTGCAAAGGGATGGATATATATGCAGTTGGTGAGACTAGGGATAATCCAACAAAAATGTGATAAGTTAAATTGAAACAGGAGTGAGTGGTGAGTTGATTAGGTGTTTGCGAATTTTCTATCCAATTGACAACCCGGAATTTTACTCTTTACGCCTGGTGCTGAATGGAAGCTGCACCGCAGATCAATCGATAAACAGGATTGCAAGTTGGTTAAGTAGTCTGCAAAGAGGGGATGGAATTTTTGGCTGGGAGCTTTTGGGTGATTCACACGGCGAACAGTATCACTTTGTGTGAGATCCCGAGTCTACAGTCAATAGGCGCTGCAGCAATGTTTTCACTAGGAGCCGTGCTTTCGTGCTCACCACAACTGCCGATGTAGTGAATTCTTTGTGCATATTAAAGTAATATTGACCAAAGTGTAGTCAAATAAATTGCTTTCAAGCCTTATTTATCATTCATGCGGCACCTACAAGGTGTGTATAGAAAGGGATTGTTTGTGAATTTCTCACAATGCGCCAGCTTAAAGTTTCCACGCCCCAAATTTTTCTCAGTTTAAGAATTGTGTGCTCCTTCCAGGTCCTAATAAACACGGCGATCTACAACGTTAGAAGGAACTGATAATGTCCTTGTAGGCGCCCGTTCAATATTTAACTACCAATTAGTAAACTAGCTCATTACGTGATTCGAAAGTGTGGTTGTTGCTTTCAGTATGATATTTTTTTCCAAGTGCGCAATTCATGTTTGAAATTCAGTTTAAAAGTGTTGGTAAAGGTTAGATTTCATCTTTTTAAAGCCCTTAATTCACTGTCTTTATTTTGAATTCCCAACAAACTCATCAATTTCTTTTGACTTCCACCAAACTGTTCCTTCTAAGCCCGACACACAAAATACTGCAACTGCAGATAATGAAAGGAAACGGTGGCTTGAGGAAGCTCCTGGAATGAATATTTTAATAAAACAGAAGTCCAATTTGACCAAAAGTGCTTGGTTTTGCTCGGTTTTGCCATACATAAATATGCATACTAAAAAATACCTCTGCTTATGGGTGACTTTCTCTGAGCACATTTGCCCCCTACATAAGCAGCACCTTCCTTTTCAATTTACAAATTTTCAGCACCTGGAGCACACCTTTGACAGACTTCTCATCTGGTGTTTTATAGGAGTTATGGCAGGTTTTTAGGTGAGTCACAATCACAATCCATTTTTATAGTGTGGGATTATACTGCTTCTGGAAAGCTACCACAAACATTATGAATGTATGCATCAGGTGTCACGGCGCAGTTCAGGGTTAGACGCTTGCTATAAAATTTGGAAATAAGTTAAAGGGAATTGCAACCAACCGCCAGAGCACTTTCTTGAGACTAAGCCGCAAAAGTAATGTGGTAGAAAGATGAAGGATTAATTTTCTATTTAAAAGAATGAAAAGTCTAGTAATTCTACTTAGAATTAGCAGTTAAAGACCACTACGGTGTGGGTAAACAATTTCCTCTTTTGATTCATTACTACTTCGGAAGGGTGCCGACCAATTTTCCACAAAGTAGATTTTGTTTCAGCAGCGACTTAGCTGGCCCCAAAATTCAGACGCACCAAGGCTTCAAAAGAAATGTAATAAAATGTTTTGCAATCGTCTCTAGCACACAAACACCATCAATCGAAGGTTGTGTGCGCGCGTGCACCAGCACCCCGATTCCGATTGGCCAATTCGAGATGTGCTCACGACGCCATGCACCTTTAAAAGCGTCGTTTGTGGATTCCTTCCTCGGTGTCGCGCGTTCCTCTCTAACTTCACTGTCTGAATATGTCTCTCTTCGGAAGAAAGTTGTCAAAGCAGGACTCTACCACTGCCAAGGAAAATAGAAGTAGGTTGATAACCTCTGCATACCATCCCTCTATTTTGCCAAACAACTTTTCGCTTTTATAGAATCAAGTGCCATGGATGACCCCGAATGGAAGTCCATTCTTGAGATCAATTCCGAAGTACTCAAAGTTTGGCGTCTTCCGGTAAGTTCGGACAGCAAATGAATAATATTTGACTTTAATATTTTACGAAATCGGGGGAATTCCGTCCAATATTTATCGCATACTTATGGTAGTGGCTTTGGGGAATTCAATTTAGAAATAGTTTTCTGCTATATTTGTTCCATACCTGCGCCCTAAAGTAAGTCATATTTTCCTTTCCGCATCTCCCTGTAATGTCAATTAACATAGATGCGTCAAATTAAAAGGGTAGTTTTCGCTTTTCAAAACTAGATTCCAAGATAATGGTAATTTATAGGCGAAAGCGTGCTCTAAACTGGGTTTTTTGTAAATTGAAACCGTAAACTATCTGCGCTCTAATGAAACACAAATATTTGTAGAATTTTCCCCAATTTAATATAAGGATTGAATTAGACATATCAACGCTATAATGGCTTAATTAGAACCAACAAGAACACGGTCTTCTCTAATTTACTATTTGAAATCCCTAACTTACATAGACTATATTTTTAAAAGATTTAACAATGCATAGGTAAAAAAAACGGCATTCTTCCTGATAGAATTTAAAAAGATATCTCGAAGCTGTGTAATTTTTGCAGGATAAAGGACCCGCAATCCCACTGCCAGAGGAGCAAGTGGGTTTTTTCATGAATGACGAAAAGTATGCCATCTTGAAGACCTCCAACCACAACAGAAAGCTCGTCTATGATCTGCACTTCTGGATAGGTCTCACTGCCGCTCAAGTGAGTTGGAATTCTACACCATTTGACCGGTTTCTCATTTGCAAAGTGATACACCCTTATACGACCTTTCCCTCTCCCCTAGAAAATGTCTTCAGAACCACCAGAAAAGGTGGCTCAGGTGATGGCTCTGTTGAACGACAATCTGGTTATTCATCGAGAAGTCGGCGAGTTCGAGTCACCGCGGTTCAAGTCTTACTTTAAGGAATTCGGGTAAGCCACTGAGTACGCACTCTGTGTGCATCGAGATTAGAGGTGCTCTATTTGGCGCGACATTTGAGCACGTAGCAAATATCAAAGCTGGCTGAAGCACCACCTCACATTCGCACACCTGCACACACACACTCATACACATACAAAGAGAAAACAATGTCTGCTCCATCTGTTCGTGCGCTTGCCAAGGGATGAGCGCACAGCTGCACGGTGAATTGTAGCCTTTTGCTTTCGCATGTGCGTGCGAGAAATGGGCAGACGCGGCCATGAGCACGTCACTGACTCCGACCGACTGCCCTTCTTTATAGCAATCACACCATTTCGCAATTGCTAGTATGTAAAAGAAAAACTGTAAAAATTGAAATTACGTAGACCTAATGAGCTTAAATAAAATTACCCAGGAATTTTGCAATTTCATACCTACGCATGGTCTACTCTATTTCATTAGCATTAACCTCAAGCACAAAGTGCACAACTTGGAGGCATAATTATTCGTATCCACATAAATATGCCTATAAAATTGTGACAGTCTTTTTACGATTTGCCAAGTTGTGCAAAAAATTTGGGTTTTAATTAAGCCAATTATTTTAAGAGATCACTAAAACCTTATAATGTAAATCCCTTTAAACTGGTCTTCACAAGTGCTGTTACGTGTAATGGTACATTTCATAGGTGGAAAGATATTATTAATTTAATAAAATGTTACAACAAAGAATATACAGAAAGGCATTCTAGCTGCTTGGTGCCAAAGGGGATTTATCAATATAAGCATTAATATTATTAATTCTTTTATTTAAAACACTTTAGGAAGTGCAAGAAGAACTCTGACAAGTCATTTAATTGTTTGTGCTTCCCAACCTCAACACCACTTCTTATAATAGCTCTCTTCAAAAAAAGGGTGCTTATCCAACTTTACTCACTTATAAAAATTAACACTGTAAAGAAAGCATTGTGGATCATCAAAACATTATTGTCAAGAAATTTATAATTACCTAGAATATGACTACGAAGCCAGTAGCATATTCAGGAGAAATTCATATATCTACCGCAATGCGGTGAGAATTGAATTTTATACTTGTCCTCTCCTCATCGCTTCCACCTTTCATGTGTCAAAATTGCAGACATTCGAACAGATTCTCTCTAGCATTAATAATTAAGTGATACTAGATTTATAATTGGAGTTTATTTACAGCGATGCTGAGGAAATACTTATGTAATTGCATATTTGTAAAATGACTATATTTTTTGTAACGATATCGAAAGGACTTCTATCGTCCATAGTTATCCCCTCAAATTTTGCAAAGTACATGCGTAAACCTCAAGTTGTCAGTAGTCTTCAACTGCGCCCATAATATTTGCATGCAAATAAGGGCAAGTTCTGGATGAGGGTGAGGCATAAAAGCTTTTTTGCAGTGTTCTCTCGGGCAACGTGGAATCCCTCTTTGACCCTGAAAACCCTCAAAAATATCAAAAACGCTTGCTTCGTTTTGCGCTTACCCGCAATAAGACGCGCATAGAGGTGACTGAAGTGCCCATTTCACGTCACTCTCTCAACTCCAATGACGTCTTCATCTTTGACGAGGGCACCAGAATGACCCAGTGGAATGGTGCCCGCTGCGACAACGAAGAGCGACTCGCTGTAGGTTTCACGCACCTTTTCCTCCGCATTATATTATTGAAAGATCCCCTTAGTTCTTTTATGCTTTTTATCACCCCCTTCAAGGCAAGAAAGTACATCGAGAAGTCGCTGAAGCTGCGCAAGACTAAGTGCACATCGGAATTCGTTGATGAGGAGGATCTCCTGGACAATGTCAGTTCTAACTGGCTTTCTGATTCTGTACTGAAAGTATTTATAATTACTGCTGTCTTCTTTGCATTACTGACAGAATGAACTTTATGCCAAACTGGGTAATGCAGCAGTGCCTCCACGCCCTATGCGATTGCTTAAGAGCAAATTCAAGAAGTCGATGTACAGGTAAATTTAACTGGAATGCTTCTCCATCTTCGTCTAAGCATTTGCAACCCGGCGTTGCTAACCAGCCCACTGCGTGTATGGAGGAGCATGCAACTCAACGACTAATTTACTGTTCAATTACCCTGGAGGGTGCAGTAGTATAAACTCATTTAGACAACTGTAGCTCAATTCTGAAAACATCGTCCTTTACCACCTGTAAATTAGCTATTTACCTAGTAGGATTCGTTCATTTACATATGTTAATATTTAAACTAAAATGCAGGTTTATAAATATATTGAACTTTTCCGAAAAATGTGTCACAGTTGAACCACTTTCCCCTCTTCATGGGTAGTAATTTGACATCGCTAGCAGATTTAATGAAGTATGTAAGTTAAATCCTTTTTTAGTAAAACTTTTGAATTACACCTGGGCATATTTTACGAGACCTAGCAGGTCACTATCGTAAATAAACTTTCTTTGCGTTTAACTAGACTCTCAGACGACTCGAAAAAACTCACTTTGAGTCTCGTGTACACCAACAAGGTTTACCGTAGCGGCATCAACCCTAACGATGTGAGCTTTGTGGATACTCTCCATGAACTCTTCATCTACATCGGTCCCGGCGCCAACGAAAATGAAAGGAACAGTGTGTGGACTCAGGCTGATGTGAGTCCCAGAAGCCTCGTCTCCTTCGAATTACTACAGGATTTTATGCGTACCTGATTTAGGCAGAATTTTGTTTCAGAAAATTAAGAGAAGAATTCCTAAGCCTCCTTTCCTTCACTTTGCAGAAATTCCTAAAGGATTCTAACATGCCGTACAAGTCAATCGCCGTCTTCAGTGCCGGGTGTTACTGCGATGGCTTTGAGGAGATCTGGGATGATGCTCAACATTAGACGATGGTAAATTGCTCATGCTGCGGAATTTCCTTGCAGTGTTTAGTCTCTTTCAATAAAATCGCTTAGTGCTCTTCCGATTCCTTTTTCATTTTCTTGTCGTAAAAGGAGAGAAAATGGGATTTTCGATTTTAGTGACTGTTGATTTATCAACTGCGCTTTTAGTCAAGAATGCAGCTCGATTCCGGTTTTTGAAAAATTGGTGATATTAAGTGAAATTCTAATTCAGTACTATAAAACTACGGAAAACAGTTATTCAACCTCATAAAACAGGTCTGTGCTGTCTGCTGTGATATTAATCGAAATGAAAACTTTGGGATATAAAAAGCCCCAAAGGCTCCATTTTAATTGGGAGTAATTTACGTCTATAAACTAAAAACTATTTGGCGAGGTTTTTCCGGGCCTTTTGGTGAAGGAAGCGAGTGTTTGGCACCTGCCTTGCTGGCAGTGAATCAGGAGCTTACGCCGAACAAAGGCGCGTTGCACCTCAGCGACTAATTGAGTTATTCCACCCTAACGTCACTTTCTTGTTGTTCACTTCAGTTGCTCTCCTAAAGTCGAGCAATGCCAACCACCGCTTCACATCAAATAGGCTTCAAAAGATAGTCTATCAAATCACAGACGCTATCTAGGTCCAAACTAGATTGGTGGATGCCCTATTAATAATACACTAGAGTTTAGCATAAAGGAGTTCAGGTTGCTGGATGGAAATGAATTGCCTTAATGCTTCATTTTTGCAGTCACTTATTTCGGTTAACTTTTGACGGCATAGCCAGGCCTCGGGTTTGCCTCTTTTGATTCACAATAGCAGGGCAAAGTTTATCGCTAAGTAGATACTACTTTTGACGAACCGTTTTAGGCCTATTGAACGATATTATGCTTAACCTTGTCATCTTGTCTGAGATACCCACCCAACCTCTTCCTCCTGTATTAGGATGTAATGGTTTCGGCAGTCACTACGTATTTTTAATTTTTGGATAAGCCGAAAAAATACCTATAACTAGAATATTATTTTTACTTCAGAAATGTTGCAAATTTGGCAGAACTTCATCTGATTGCTTATTTTGAAAAAAATGGTGTTTCTTCCGCACTAGTTGTAATCATCCCAAATTTCATTGAATTCAAACGACTTTTCCCCTGCATTGAGGCAGTGAATTGAACGAGTTGGACAGACCGTAGAGTTGAGATATTCCTGAAATAAGGAGTTGCAAATGTCGTTAGTTCTTGTCCATTTCCGTGACAAGTCCACTGCTTTAAACTAATCATGCAGAAATGTCCTTAACAAATTATAGGAATTAATACAATGGCCAAAGTAAGATAAATAAAAGAACAGTTAATTATGGTCAGCGGCATGCATAGCTGTCTTTGAATTGAACTGCTTAGGGTGACTTCGCATACAAATTTTGGTAATCTCACATGGGAATGTTTGACACTGGAAAAAATGCTTTGTATTGAGAGAGGTAGGAGTTTATGGCGTAAACTACCCACACAGGTCATAGGTGTAACATCTGGGTAGTCTATGGGACAACATTTGAAATGTGAACTTGCAAAGAAAGATGCTAAAAATTTCTTTAGTTTCGACCAATAAATCTCACGCTGGTGGGCTATGCGATTTGATTCATCTCAACACTGTCTCGTTTTACTGGGCTAAGGCTGTTTGCTTGCGCTAGTACCTCTGCACTCGTCAAATATCTTTTAGTCTGCATTAACGAATTTCTCATCGAATGCCCTATGAACTTAATTTTGATGTATTATTTAATGACAAATACGGACTACAAAAGGCAGTTTAGAGATGTAGTTCTGTGTCTTTTCAAGAAAATATTCGAAGGACGGCAATGCCACTCATTTAAAGAAAGTCCCTGTTTTGAGTTCAAATACAATTTAAGAACTAGTATTGGGACTTTTTGACTTCGGAACATCTTTGGAAAGGAAAAATACAGAGCTGAAGTGTAATTACTTGAAATGAACCTGATGAATTTTGGGTGAAAAGGATACATTCATTAGAGTTTTTTGATCATGGTAGCACATCAGTACGTCGTGTAAGAATAACAAAATCTAGCTTTTAGATTACTGAGCTGGAAACACACTACTTTTGGGGATTGATGGCAAGCGGTTATTACTTATTATTCGCTAGCACGGGACCACTTCGCTTCTGTTTTCTAACGCATAAAATCGGTCAGCACAGACATACTCAAAACATCAACAAATGGCTGTCAATCCTAATAATGAGCCACATGGGAGCCCCGAGCTGTGATCGAGGCGGGTGAGGATGGAGTGAAGCCACGAGGTGATCAGCAGTGAGATTTGGTGTAGTGTTCATTGGTCTAACACGAAATACCACACAGCCACACCCAATGAAAACATCCTATTTCTCTGCCAAGTTGCATTCCTGTGGCGGATCCCTCCTCTCTTGATGAATGGATTGCTAGGTGACACCTGAATGAATTTGAAGTATGCATCAGAATGGGTGATCCTATTCGCCTCCAGTTTTGAAAGGAATTTTTACATTTACTGGATAGCGTGTCAAATGAGGATAATTCTTGCCCAGAGCACAAAGTAGCGACATTTAACCGAATTTCAATACTTACTTCTGCCCCTCGCCAGACACCCTCACGTTCCCGTTTCGATGCCGTTGGTCCAATGTAGATGTAGAGTCCATCTAAAGTGTCAATAAAATTCACATCGGCTGGGTCCAGTCCACTTCGAGAAATACGTCCATGATATACTGGAATCAGTTTCAGCTTTCCATCGTCGTCAGAGAGCCTGAAGCCCAGAAGAGAATTTTTTAAATACCCTTGCTGTTAAAACACAGGAGAACGACTACCTACCTGTACATGGCTTTATCGATGTATTGGGGAGGAGTCGGCATGGGGTCAACCGAATCGTCACTCAGAACACTTGTGAAGGGATTCTGCAATGCAATTATTTTTTACGACTTTTCTGATTAATTTATCCATCGTATAGGAAGTAAAGTAATCCCTGCTAACCATGTAAAAGAAGCAGACATGTGTCAGTTACTTTGAAAGCTATGATTGATCAGAGCTCAGCTTGCTGTCAACTCAGTCGCGTTAGAGTTGATTACATAATTTCGGTTTGACTATATGCTCAGTGTATCAGTAAACAGTAACTACCGCGTGTGATTCAACTAACATTCGCCCATCTCTTGTTTGCATCAAACGTTTCATTCTGCCTGCCCCAAAGGTCTTCAAATTTAAGTAAACTCGGTTAGTAGCAGGAATAACAGTTTATGAGTAGAAGCAGCATTTCAACTACTTACGATTCCCAAAAGGTCCTCTTCATCGTAAAATTCTCTCGTCAGCTTTCCTTTGCGGCGTTTCAGGAAATTTTCGATGTGTGGGCTTGCCTGGTAAAAAATTAAATAATTTTTTCCATAAAAGCGTTAAAACTCTGGAATCCTTAAAAAAACTTCAGCCGTTTCATTTAATATCAAGAAACAAGTTAATGTAAGCGCATTTTCAATGTAATAGAATAAATTATGCTCATGTACGGCGTCCTTACTTCATTTTCAGTTGAAAACACTCACCATAAGCCAAATGGCTAAATGCTTCAAAAGTTAGTGGGTTGCCCACTAAATCATTTTTCATATTCACTACATTTTCTTTTGTCCCTGGAGCAGATGTCGAGCTTGACAAAAATGAATAAACGAATCTAGCGGAAAAGATCTCCGTGTTTGGATCTACGACACTTGTTTAAAACAAGCATATTAATAAATGCCATGTGATTGTTGAAAGAGTTTTACCAAAAAAAGTGGTATTTGACGACACTTATCACTACGACTTGCGCATGATATTGATAAGTGGATTTATTGAGTAAAACAGAAAGGGAATTTTTCGCTTGATCACCATGACTCTAAAGCATTGAAATTGCACTTAAAAACTAGGTAAAAAGTTGCTCTGTTTTCAAATGCTAACCTTTCTTACCTTTAGGATGTCTCAAATATGTTGTTTTCATCACTACAAAAACTAGAGCATATAGGGCGCTACTACATAAAACAATTTAGTCAGCCGAATCACTAAAACAGCTCGAAAATAAAAGGAAAGGGTTTGTTTTCATCAATCTGTACCCGCGCAAGTCAAAAATTTCCACTATCTTGCAGTGTCTTCGCAGTCTTTTAAAGGGACTTTTCAGGTGCCTCAGTCAAAGGCTCCCTAAGCTATCACTTTTCAAGCTATCGCACCGTTCATCTCGTTAACGTTCAAGTACCATGTGGTATTTCTGATCTGGGGTATCTTATTTCCCCATCCACTATTTAGCATTTGTACACAATGAAAGCCCCAGGAATATTGAGAGTGATTAGAAAACTCGTTCTATTTGGATTTCACAAAGTACCTTTTAGGGGAAAATCACTCATCATGTGCATACATTTATGCTCTTGACTCCATTTTTAGGAGTCGCATTTGTTCTTTTGTCAGGTTATTTTAAACTCTAGCCTTCAGTTCATTCATCGAATTCCTTAAATGCGCTTTTAGAGGCTACCATCCTGACTTTGTCTATCTCAAAACAACCTCTGCATGAATGCAAAATTGCCTTTAAGTGTTGTACCATTGGAACAGTCTCTAGTGGTACCGAAAAGTGGAGCAATTGTCAATGAACAAATTAGAGGCTATCGTTTATTCTTGCTGTTTTAGATTTCATTTAGCCAGGTGTTAGATTCGAGTCTGCCGAATGGCTGTTACTTTAAACGTACACCTGAACGATCCTTCTCACTGCAGAAGCTGCCGTTCCACTGAAGCATGCACAAACCTTTGTCGAGAACAAAAACGTAATGGCTTTGAAGCGCCTTCTTCGAAAGAGGCACCTCCCGTAATTCTCCTCGATTGCGATTTAATTTGAACTTAAGAAGACGCGGTTTGTATTTCTTGGGCTCTTTCTCGTCGAACGCCGTTTCAGGCCCACCGTGGAGAACGCTTGAAGTTAGAGTGTTAAAAGGGAGTAGCTAGACGACTTACATGAATGTTTTGAAGTAATTCTTCAGAATTGAAGATTCGAAATACTCGATTTCTTTGTGGTAGACGACTTGGTCGTTTAGCAGTGCGGACAACTCCATCACCTTCTGTGGAGGCTCAGGACCAATTTCCTGAAATTCAGTTTGATAATAAAACAAAGCTGCAAACTCAGTTCCCCTAAGATTTTAATTTTAACTTATTTACCAAAGCAGATGTGCGAGTACCGTTCACTATTAAATGCTTTTATCTAGTTTACAGGACTACGTATTTTAAGCCCAATTGCTGCCAAATCAAAAGCTTAATTCAAAATACTCACTTTGATTAGCCTGTAGGGAATCCAGAAGTGAAGATCGTAGCAAATTTTGCGTTGTTTATTAGCCACTTTCAGCACAACGTAGATGACGTCGTTGAAAAAGATTCCATAATCTTGTGCTTCAACAGGTTTGACTTTCATATCCTACAGTCGTAGAAGTGGTAACAAAATGCGAAACGGACAAACTTTTAGTCTCCAGATCAGTGTTTGTTCCTTATCCACTTTCCTCACAGGTTCCCATGCCGCTTCCTCCTCTGCTTTCTCACCTTAATAAAGTATTTCCATAACTAATGAACTGTTATCCTATGCGCAGAAAATATTAACTAAGCAGAAACACAGTCATTTCTGGTCTGAATTTGTTTTAACTTTCAAATATAAATTAAGAAATACGTTTACTTCCTAATGTTTAAATACGTGGGTAATTAATGTAGTCCTGGTACACGAAAAGGTCGTCTTGTAGTAGCCACAACGCTCGATATAAAACGGGCATATACGGAGAAGATAAAATCAAACTATTATTCTACCGTTAAACTTTTTCAATGGATTAGGGTGCCACTTACGTCTCGACTCCAGGTCCTTACTGTCCTGATCTTTGGTGCCTTCATCTGCAAATGTTAGCATAAATGCTGCATAGTTTACTCTGTCCCACTTCGTATTGTATAGAAAAATACCTTCTCCATACTTTTCTTTATTAAGGACGATGCTCAGGCAAACGCGAACGGCTAGGTTATGCCCACGCATAGTGGAATGTTGGCCATTTCGCTCGCCTGAACACTGCCTATGGCTGTCACTATCTTGAATTTAATTTTGTAGATTAAACGTTGATAAATGAAGCTTTGGTATTATCATAATCCTTCTTGGCTTCATGGGTTGAGCATGTAAATACATGGAACAAGTAGTTTTCATGAAGCGCTAACGAACAAGTGATGTGTGCTTTCTATTAAGACGTCAGCTGATCTGATTTAGGCTCTTAATCTTTTGATTTTGATCAAGACGTCGAGCACAATCTTGTTGCTTGATGTAGCTACAGCCTAAGAACCTATGTCCCAATCAGAACAGATACCAAACTACTAAATTATTTAGTGTCCAATTCGCTAATTGCCCAGTATTTTACAATTTAGAGCAATCATTGGCTTTGCTTGTTACAAACTGAACCCTATTTGTAAGCAACTAACGTTTAAAGATATGAAAGCTGTTTTTAAACTTCCACTGATATTGTAGCACCCAATATCTCATCGGAGGAACTTGGTCACAATCGGTATCAGTAGCGACCAAATTGAGCAAATAATACCTTATTACTTATAAAGGTTGACTTGAAATATTTTGTTGTTCCTCAATGATTGAACCCACATTGTTTTAAGCTGCTATTTTAGTACATGCTACATTCAATAAGTAAAATATTTAAACGACCAGTTCATCAAGCAATTCAAATGCTTTAATTGACACTGTTTTGAAGAAGCATAATTCAATCAAAGTAAACTCCGTATTCGCTTCCCTTTTGTGTTTGAATACCATAGTAATTGCTTTCGCTGTCTTGAATTTCAGCTTCTTCTTTTAGGCAAGTTATCGAGTATCCCAATGTGCAAGGGAGCCCCGTTCGATGATCGTTTTTCTACATCACCGTTTGCATATAGGTTATGGAATTCACTGCTTTACTCATGTGATATACGTGTCCAACTAAAAGCACATCCACTCCATTGAATCTAAATTCAGATTTGCTATTTGTTCAAATTCAAAGCATGCTTCTTGAGAAAAAATCGACTGTGTTAGTTCTCCACACTTCAGGAGAACCCAACAGTCCTTCCTTAGGAATTTTTGATAGCAGCTATGGATAGTCGCATCTTAGGTTAAGTTAAGCCAACTTCTTCCAAATTCCAATGCCGAATATGGCACACTCCTGTCGGTGGCATTAAACAAATGATTGGTTCGGCTTCCACATCTACTGCAGCTTTATTATGTTATCCCTTGCATGAATGCATACCACCAGTATGTTGGAATTGGGCCTAATAACGGTTGCCTGAAGAGGGTCTTTTAATCAGCGAGTCTCTTCTGATGTGACTTTGTCCAATGAATCCATAAAGTATCAATAATTAAAGTTTTTCTTTAGACATTTTTATAATAATGCATAAAAAGTGTACTCTAAAATCAGCTTCAGTGCATTTTCACTAACGTTGGAGATTGATGCTTCGCATGTCCTCTGAAAAGCCATTGTGGATCCTACTGGCAACTAACATCCTTAATACGCCTTCAATTGTTAGCTGTTTTTTTCTTAATCAGTCATTTATGTAACTGATTCTAAAAAAAAGGAATGTTGGATTTTAATTGGAAGGCTAACCCTTGGCCAGAATAGTGAATTTTTTGACACTAAGTTTCCTCAAAAGATTGTCCAAGAGCGTTTGCATTTGCGACAAGGTAATCGCACTTTGACATCATTTTGGAGGCAAAATTCCCTATGGCATAACTCTCAGGTACACCAACCCTAAATTAACCGCATGCTTTTGTTGACGGTTCCTTCACCACCACCGATAGGGAAGAGCTATACCACTTTCAAGCATTATTCCAAAGCCTATATCCTGCCTAATTTTGAAGCTAGAATCTATATTTATTAAAATGTTGATTTTTTCCGCAAATATACGTTAAACAAGTACCATAAAAAGATTTTTCTAAGGCAAATCTAACAGGCCTTAAATCCGGAATATGAGTTTTGCCGTAATAATTTTTTGCAGAATCCCCTAAAACATTGAATATTATTCCAAAACACAGTTTTTGGAAACGGATGCACTGATAAAGAGCTAAGTTGGGATTATTCTTTTGCGAACTCAGTGTGACACTCAAACTAAAATCACCATTCCATTTAAGAATAACAACAACAATCATTAATAATTCGATATACTTCAAATGTGCTTCATCTGAAGCCGTGATCATATAGTTTATAGTTTAATGATGGCACCGCTACTTAATTTTGTGTAATTTTGGCACTTATTAACGGCAGAAAAAAAGACTTCCAAGAGTAGAAAGGGTGAATCGAAATACACTCACATCGAGCATTGTGTTCGACGTCGCTGCCGTCGTAGTCGTTGGACCTAGAGGATGAGCGCTCGAAGGAGGACATGCCGTCGTGGGGTTGCCTCAGAGAGAAATGACCTCGATCCACTTGTGTAAATTAGTACCAGCGGCATTTGTCACTTCCGCTTTAGCTAGCCTTACCACTACTACTGACCCCATATGAAATGCGGGTTGTTTTGGTGACCAGCACATTTTCACTCCAGTGGTGAGAAAATCCTGCATCTTTTGGAGGTGAAAAGTGTGCAATACTCTGTGCGAAACAAAAAAGTTTACGATTGGCTTTTCCTACGAATTCTGTGATTGAGCTTGGATAGGTTGAAGAAGCTAAAATTGAACAAAAATGTCAATCATTATGTGGGTTGAAAGGTATGCTTACTCCTTTAAAGAGAGTAGAAATGGTTGTCCAGATCCTCCGTTTATCCTCTTAAATTCTGTTCTTTAATCATCGGTTCATATCCACCAAAAAGTTACGCATTATAGACGTTTTCGGTTTTTTCGTAATATTTATCCTGAACTTGCACTTGTATGTAGCAAAATCAAAATTTTTCGCCGTAATTCCCTAATTTTGGTTTTGGGATATAGGCTTTGTCGGCTCACGCACGTGCCTTGGAGTCGTCTAGACATCCTTAATCAGGACGGTTGGCAAAAGTGGTAGTTCATACACGTACCTACGTGTGATGTTTAGGGTTCTTGTTAATGAAGTCGTAAAAGCCTCGGATATCTATTCAAAGTCTACAGAAGAACTCAATCGCAGTACGGTGATGGCACACTCAGTAGTTCAGTGGTAGAACCTACCAATACCGCAAAAGTTAGAGATGACTGTGCGCCTGTTCGTCATGTCTCCTGCCGTGGTAATTTTTAGGCCTCAGCAATCATCCCTGCGAAAATTTTACCTAGCACGTGAAAAGCCTACATCTTCCTGGTCAGTTTGTTCCGGTAGCACAGGGATTGCAGCATGGTCCGATTGCAGAGGTGATTAATATTTCTGCAATAGCAGTAAACAGATTCACACACGAACATTGAACAGTTAGCGTAAAACGGCTTGTCGTTTTGGACAAGCCCAGAAGGACAGAGTACCCGATGGGTTTTGACAAGTGAGTTCAGGGTTTTCTTGATCACATGTTCCTATGCGGCGAAATCTAGGTTAGTCATTTCACCTAAGAATCAAAACAAGCACTAAGGCAATAAGAGCATGCAAATTTACCTTAAAGGACGAAGTTACACAGACTTTCATGGTGTGGTTCAGCCCTACTAACAAGCCGCCTACGCCGTACACTATTTGAACTCTAAAGCAAGTGCATGAATGTAGAATAGTACCATGACGAAGAATAAATGTAGGTCTTACGCCTTAAAATTTGTTTTCTTCTTTTGTAAGTTGAAGATTCTCGGTTTAACCTGAACGCCCCATCTGTAACTGTACCAAATAAAAACCAATTTTTTAGGTACTTAAATCTAAAAGGTAAAAAATAAGCAATCTTTGGAGATTAGTACTGAATTGTGTTTTATTTGATTTCCTCTGGTCTTCTACGCATTAGGCATTGAATGCACTTTGTTCAAACATGATACTTTCAATGTTTTGGGTTTGTTTATCGCCTCTATTTTGTGATGCTATACTTTAACTTCTCAAGACATTCATAAATTGAAATTGATAACGGAAGCATGACAGCAAACTTTAAGTTTATGTCTAATGTATTTACAACAATAATTCTTGCGTTTTTCTCAGACTTGAGCTAAACTCCCTTATTGAATCACATTACCTGCATTTGTGCTTAAGCATATTTCTCGTTTCTAAATTCTCCTTCCATCTTCTCATTTTACAATTTCTCAATTCATCATCAAAAGTCAACTATCTATTCAACATTCGGCTATTATGAAGGGCACAGGTACCACTGTTCAATGTATTTGTGACTGCGAGAACGTAATGTGCTAGCATGTAGTACGTTCACTCAGTGTTTTGAAAGACGGTATTCGGTTATGCTTACTTATGTGCATTAGTAACACAAGTTTGTGATTCAAGTTTTTGCCAGCATCACTTTTAACGGAACGTCATGTAGTTAGCCAAGCGCAAGAGCTTTAAGCGCACGTTTTGATTGGTTTTGGGGAAAGGAATTCCTTCAACGCCTCACTCGACTTGATATTTTTAGGCACCACTATTTTATTCATGAAATTAACGGGCGTGTTTCGATGTTATGCTTGAAATTAAATCAAATTGAATGCTAAAATGATTATTTGTCATATGTTAATGCATGAAGTGTGGGTCCTTACAAAGAAAATGAATTTGTGGTCACTCAATATCAAGTCGTATTTTAAAAAAAAAACATCACTGTCTGTTTCAATTAAATCGAAGTATTATGCAAACTGCACAAGCATAGGAATGCACCAAACTCCAGTAAAAAGTGTTTTGAGGAGATCAGGTTAGCGTTTTCGTACCCAACACTCGTCCAGATACTTCGCTAGTCTGCTCTGTCACCGATCAATCAATTAAAATACTACCTATGTCTAATTTGTGCTACCAGCTCATAAAGATAAAGTTTATTATTTCAGCCGCAACCTATCCGTTTACGGCAGGATTTAATGCAACCACTTATTGCAAACTGATATATATATATATATATATTTAATACTTGGATATTTCGTTTAACCTTGCTTTTTTGTTACGCGGGTACCTAAGACCGGGGCCATCATACTTTCGTCCAGCGACATGGTCCCCAAACCATGTCCGTAGCCCCTCAGCCCTCCTGTACGGCAGCAATACCATTTCTGCCATAGCACTACCACTTCTCATATCCTCAGGAAAGACTTGGGGCGCTGCATGCCTAAACTATAGTTTAAATGGGATACAATCCCTATAACGCCACCGAAAGTTAATTTAGTCCTTTTGAATGTGAATTAAGTCCCCTGCCACTAACTTTCGGAAACCCCTATCCTCATCAATAAGCGTCAATGATACCAATTGTAGCTTATAAATGTTCTTTCCAATGGAGCTACAACCGTATCATATTTTCAAGGTTCCCCTCCTAACAGAGGACCTACTTTTTCTGTGATTTCGAGGAAATGTCATGCCAATTCTAGTAGGCAAGAAAATTGAAAATATAACAAGTTAATCGAGGTAGTGACCTAAGGCAATCAAGGAATTTCTAAGAAAGAGAGGTAATTATAGGCTGAAGTGTCACACCTAAGTCATTTGTTTCCATCCCTGTGAAAGAAAAAAGGTAGTGTCTTTGTGTTCAGAAAAGTGCATTTTAGTGAAAATGTTAGTAGGTAAGTGGTTTATAGTGTGATGATCAAGAAAATCAAAAGTAATGTTCATTTGTTATGAAGTGGCGAGATCTGAAGTCTTGCACCGGCCATGATTTATTGCAAGAGATAAACAGAATTCGAGCCTTTGAATGAGAGGTAAATTAATCATGCAATAATCCTTTATTTAATTTCAAAACATTCATTAGTGATGGATGACACATGTTTTCAAATTTTCATGGAATGTGTGCCTATTATCGAGACCAAATGCGGGACCTGTAAATGTCTCACTTTGTGACTACAATTTGAAAATCTTTAAAGTAAAATTTCACTTCGGGACTGGGCCGTTTTTGCCATTTTTGCGATCAAAAACACCTTAAGTGGGCTGGTCTTTAGTTAAGTTTCCCTTCTTATTATGCCAAAAATAGAAATTTCAATTCTGATTTTAGTTTGTTTTCTTTGGACCAAACTACGAATGCGCTCCGACGCATTCCAACTGCGTGCAAATTGTAATGCTTTCAGCATTTGTTTAACCCTTCTTTTTGGTTTTAAGGACAATTAAGGCTCCGCTTTCGTATTTCTGCCTAGCGGCATAGCTTCTGGACCATATTATTATCCCTCCTAGCCCTTCTGTGGGACGATTGCAGGCATTCTGTTCGAGTATCATGTCTTCTTTCATCCTTAGAGAAGTCTCGAGGCGCTGTAAGAATATTGAGCTATTTCACAATAGAGGTAAATAATGTGAGTCTCAAAATCTTAGCTCAAGTATTCATCAAGAGGAATAAACTTGGAAACCTCTAGAGTTATCCTAAATTCATAACAATCAACAACCTTCTCCGCATCTTGGCCTGCCAAAATGCTTGCTTACCAACCATTGAAAGATGAAGAAATGAGGCATCTCATCTTGACAAGATCCGTTTCATTCAACTGATACGCACAAGACCAGCACCGAGCATAAGTAATGATGACTTACCCAATGAAGTGGGACAGTCCAATTCGATTCTACCTTAGCAGCAAATGAAAAAATGGGTAAAATTACCTCTGTTGGTCTTAGGATTCCAGTTTTCTTATTTGCTGTTCACCTTCTAGCTTCATTTCGCGATATTTTCCTATTGTTACAATGTTACAACTATAAAATGTGCTTTGTATGGCGCAATAACGCCGCATCTGCATGCTAACGCCCGTAGTTACGCAGATGCGAGGGGGACGGAAGGGTGAATTGTCAATGCTGCTGAATGATCTTTTGCAATGAAGCAGTTAAGCAATGCCAAATGATTTACTCTCCAATTTCTTAGACCAAAATTTAATTTGCTGTGAGTCGGTATAGACAGTCTCATTCATAAATTTCAAACGATGGTGCAATTCTCCCAGCCTTCTCGTTTAATCGCCCAGTTTGCATAGTCTATTCTGTTTTGTACTTAATTGACAAGCTTTTTTCAGGATGAAAAGGTCATTTTTAGTTGAGAGTTTAGCATGACACTGCCTAGCAATACCTTGTGTTTGAGGCATGACTTACGACTGTAAGGTGCCCTAAATTGGGTCAATCAGCTTATTTTTCGCGTTGGCAACTTCATTCTTGCTGAGACTATATATTTATAAACGCAGCTAACAGTCGGAAAAATTGTTATCAACTTTAATTAATTTGAAAATACGCGGCTTTCAATAGTTATATGCTGTGAAAATGATTAGTTATCTGTCACTAATAATCCGATCATGTGCACGAATACCACTGTGCCAATGAGTTCATAAGGTCATCCAGTCCTGATTGTGTGATTGCCCCTTTAAGGCAACAGATGTCGGTCACATGCAGCTTAATTTGTAAATTCACGCAAACAACTGACACCTTGAACGTGTATTTTGTGTTGCATTCGGAATAAGTGGAAAAGCAGTGAAGTCCATCCACGCCTTACGTGCTTACACGTACGACTGAAGTAACTGCTGCGCCTGACCCTCTAGCCTCACATACAGTTAGTTCATCTGACCATTTCCCTAAAAAGCTGCCCTGTCCTTAATATCGCAGCTCTCCCTTCTGGGTAAATGGTCAGCAAAGTTGACGCATATCCTCACACCCCACTCACGTGCTCCTTGTCATTTAGCGATTTATTGCATATCTTTTAGGGATTCAGACAGATTTAGGTGAATTTCGGACGGGTAGTTGCCTCACTAGACATAGATACCAATCAGACGCTCAAGTTCCCAATTTGTCTAAATCTAGATGACACGTTGACGCTAGCGTTTTAATGCTTTTATGGTGCTACTTTTACGTAAAAATGGCATGTAAAAGGGACAGATTTTCCACTTCAAAATATGGGACTTTCAATTATTACTGGCAAAACTCACCTGAAGTGGATCTTACCTGCTTCAGGCGCTACAGAGACATGGCTCCTGAAAATTGCATTTGAATGTTTTAAAGCAAAGAACAAGCACAAAATCATTAAGCAAATGAGGCTTAACATGAAACATTTACATCTAATAGAATGTCCACCTAGATCTGTGCAGTTCGGTTGGGAATCTGTAAACAATTTCATGTGTTGTCTACCCTGGTAAGTCTCAGCATTCTCCGTACTTTGGACTAAAGTCATCCTCACCGAACCCCGCGCATTTTTAATTACTCAACACATGCATACAATGGTGACTTTTAATACATGGGTAGAGATTATCTTTTCTACTAAAGAAATAGTAATAATGGTTTTATTTTAAAATAGCATTTCGTGACAATTTCTTAAACATTATGCATCTGTGGATAAGTGCAAGCACAGTTGCATCATATGTGTTAAGTCACTTCACCATAGTTGGTCCATCGTGTGCCAATGCATCAGGAGCATGCAGACACATTTTCAACGGTTGAAAAGCGAGTGTCATAACAGTGCATTTGTAGGCCTGCCGACTCGCGTCAATGCAGTCCTTATAACGGAGGCTACACAGAAGACCTTGACAATACAGAACGTTTGCTTCCTTTTTGTAACATTGTCTGCTAATGAAAGTGTTGATGTAGGAATTGTCTTTTCCTATTCAGGGTCATTCCAGGAATTTAGTTTTGCACTCAAGTCTTCCTTTTAGGATACGTGATTTAAATTCCCAAATTTTGTCGTTAGCATAAATAAAACCCGTTCACACAAATATAGTTAGAGCTTTTGTCATGCAAACAGGTGCTTTGACTAGTCCAAGCTCTCTTGGACCAAAAGACGGAGACAAATTATCCAAAGAGGGTAGTCGACATCTCTAGTAAAATCTCTTTAAATTCGGGAGTTTTCAGAAGGCTGAACGCATCTCCTTTACGGATAGTCTATTAATAAAATAGTTCTTAAGTCCTTGACAAATTCACACACGTGACTAGTTGTTACTCCAAATGCAAAATATTTATTCATTTCAGTAATACGGTGTACAGTAATAGCAATATAAAATTTGACCAAATGTATTTCAAAATAACTTTACATAGCTATCACGCCCTTTTGAGCCACTCTTGCCCTTTCCGACTTTTGTACTTTAAGCAAAGTGACCAGATATAAGCATAAATTACTTTGTGAAAATTTTGACCACCTTATGATGCCCGAGCAGTTGAAACCAACTTTGCACATGCTAGACACTGTGCAGTCAAAGTTATTTCTGCCTGATTCTGCTCAAGTCCAATTGGCTCACTACTGCTTTCTTCAACCAGTAGGCACAAAACCATCACTTGATTTGCTACTCACAGGCCTTTATAGGGTGGTCACATAAAAACAGCAGTTTTCCTCGATCATTCCATCTTCGCGTAAACGTTGGATATGGCAAGCCTGCGGAAACCTAAAGAGTATGACTGGGAGGACTCTAACGTTGCCGACATCGGCTCGGCGATGGACAGAGGGGTTAAGAGTAAGTTATTTCGCCTTTTCTTCTGGCTGATTGGTTAGGCACATTTCGACCCACTGGCAAACGGCTAGGGATAGATGTAGTTTCAGGTCAGCATCTTACAACCAATGAATTTAGTACAAATCTTCCATTGGACATGCACCCACCTTCTTTCAACCACGTGAAGTTTAAATTCTGTATGGCCATAGAGGCACACTCTTCTTTTTTGGTCTCTGCGCCATGGCGGGTTTGATTAAGCCTAAAAGTTACGCCTGGTGTGATACCAATGTGGCGCTTCTTGGAACTGATAAGGATCATGCAGTTAAGAGTAAGTCAAGTCCTGGTTCATCGACTGTTTTGAGGTCTGCATTTATGAACTGTTATTCACACACTTGAGTTTTTAGTACATCTTCGGTGACGCATATTATTTTCTTGCTCAAGTTAATCCGCCTAGACTTCCGTTTGCTCATGTACTCATTGAGGTGTCTAATCACTACCTAGTCACAACTTTGGTATTTTGAACTCGTCAAGTTTTATATTTTGTATAATGAATTGAAGTCGTTTGCCTTCGCTAGCCTTTTTGAGATTAATCCATTTTCAAGGTATAAACCTAAATATGCGGGTTTTATTCACAGAAAGCCACCACGTTTGTAGGCGACAAAATATTTTTTCCAATTCTAGCGTTTTTAATTCACGTTGATTTTTTTGCTCTTTTCGTACTAGAGTAATTTAAGGAGCTAACTTTATTTAAATAGATTCTCTCCCGAAATGCCATGTAATAGGTCAAGAGGTAGGTTTCTTCACCACTTTTCTAATGGTAACTTATTCAAGCAGTAATATGAATTTCCGATCCGTGGTTGTTACATGATTTGTAATTATGGTTACGAGGCCTCCACGCCGGGAACGGTAATTTGAGCCTACCTGTTGTATCCAACTTGTCTCACCTTGTGTCGGTTTCCAAAAATCTTGCGTTCTGTGCACAATCAATCCGGTCACTCTCATTCAACTGGATTTACCTGATACGATGGTGATGTACTGCTTTGAAAAGTGAATTGTTTCAGGTGGATTATTTTAAGAAGGCAATGTCGTCTCCTGGATTGGATGACCCGCTTTGAAGTGACTTAGTCATTTATGTCGGAATTAGAGGTAGAACTACCCATCGTCCAAAAAAATATTCAACCATTAGTCCCCTCGAAGCTCATTACCAAACTTTAATCATCTGCTATCACATTATCTACTGTTTCGACATTTTGGACATAAAACCAGGGTAAACCACCGCTTTTCGCTGTTAAGCGCGTCAGTCATTTTCTGATCAGCCGTTTGATCACCACAAAGTGCTCAACATTACGTTCGCCGATTTCGACATGAAAGGACTGGGTAACTCCGGCCCAAGACCACCAGCTAAGTAACACCCTCCGCCCTTTTCCGGGTTCGAAACCCTTGGCTTACGTAACTTCTAGAACCGCGTTTTTTTCCCAAAAAGGGACACAAAAATAGCAGATCGATGCCGCTGCACCGCCTCACTCACTGCCCCTTAAACGAAGGCGAAGCAACTGCATTCGTGTTGGGGCGTGCCGTCGCTACACGCACCATTGTTATAGTAACGTCACTGCACTGAATCATGCTCCACTATGATTGGTGGCTGCACCCAGCGTGCCTGTCGGTTAACTGCGGACAACTCGAGCGCCTATTGGTTCTTCACCTTGCACACGAGACTGCACGCACGGAGGCCCGATTAGGTAGGTACTTAGGCTGCTGCGCTTGAAGGCTAGCTCTGGGTGTGTTTGCGGGTCTTGCCAGCGAAGTTTCCCTCGCACTCATTACCACGTAGAGAAGGCATGGCGGGTCTTGTGAAAGCTAAGGACTATGACTGGAAAGACTCAAACATGGAGCTTTTCGGCTCCTCAAAGGATAGGCAGGTAAAAAGTAGGTTAATCGGCTTCCCTCCCCGTCTATCCTATCCCTTCTTCGTGCCTTTCAGAGGAGTCCGCGATGACGGAGAAGTGTTGGGAGCCTGTTGGCAGAGCAACGTCGCCCTTCCTCATGGTCTGGCGTGTCAATGTGGGTTTACTTGGTTTCGTGGCTAGGTTCTGGGACTGTCCAGTTGCGCTGCTTTATATTCTGTTTAGGATTTTAGCAGTCAACCAAACTCCTGCAACATGAAGGCTTGTGGATACAGGCTTTTATTCTTTGATGCGATCATTTAAATGGTGACAAGTTATGGTATTGCGCGGAGCATTATTGTAAAGAGAGAAGGAAGTGAACGACAAATCAGAGGAGGGAAATCCAACGTATCATTGACATCTGTGTAAATATCGTAGTCGACAAAACGTCACAGGGCTAGTAAAATTTGGTCCAGATCATGTATGGAACTTACATCAGCATAGTCGGTTGTAACCATGGTTTCATTTAAAGAATCAGTTAAATTTTTATTCTGTTCGTATGTGGAATTCCAGAAACAGCTCCATGATGAATGGGTATAAATAAATACAACTGATTAGTGCGAATTGTCGTAATCCATGGTCGTATACAGACGCCAAAATTCCGACGACAATTTCTAGTTGTACTCCATAAGGCTGTAGGCATATTTTTACATCCCAAATCCTTTTACACTTGGGTGTGCTAGAGGTTTTTCCCATTTGCGTCTTGACGGTGTGTATAAGCTCCAGTGTCGGACTCAAATAAAATGATAAATTGTTTTCAATTTAGGGAAAAGTTGCTTGCCTTTCATCCAAATTATGCCAAGATTGAGGTCTATGCTATATTTAGTAGGATGTGAAAGGAGGCAGAAAGTACCCCATTTAGCTAATTTCGGCGAGATCGTTATCCCACTCTTTGCTGTAGATTCTTAAGCTTTGAACCATACCAATTTCAAGCCCTCCAGTTATGCCCTTAGAGTAGAGAGATATATCCGATAGGTATGTTATAATCAAGTAACAATCCCACTTTTTCGGTTCGTTATCTTTATTTTTAAGAGATCAGATGCCATTTGGGTTCAAAATCCTATAGCTCAGGCGAAAATTCAATTTCACAAGTGGTCGGTGTGATTTCATGTTTCTAAGTAGCTAGATCATCGCAGATGAATCTCTTGACCCGCCATTACCTTTCCTTAAGCAATTTACCCTCGAGCCGGTGCCCAGTGATGAAATTGGGAATTTCTACAATGGCGATTCCTACGTCATCTGCAAGGCAACGAGAAGCCCTGGTGGTGACAAGCTGCTCTACAATGTCCATTTCTGGATTGGCAAGCACAGCACAGCTGTAGGTGGTTGCCTTTTCATGCATGCGTGCGTTCTAACATTTTCTTTCCTCTCTCCCCTTAGGATGAATACGGTACCGCTGCCTACAAGACTGTCGAATTGGACACCTTCCTCGATGATGCTGCCGTCCAACATCGCGAGGTCGAAGGCTACGAGTCGCAACTCTTCAAGAGCTACTTTGACAAGCTTGTGTAAGCCCAGCTCGTGATGCCTAGAGCAGATGACTGAGCAACTCTGATTACTTTTTTGTTCCCATTGTCTTTCCATAGCATCCTAAAGGGTGGCTACGCCTCCGGTTTCCGCCATGTAAAGCCAGACGAGTACAGGCCACGTTTGTTGCGCTTCTGCAAGGAAGGTAAAACCACCTATATGCGCCAGGTGGCCTTCAGCAAGCAATCCGTCCACTCTGGTGACGTCTTCATTCTGGACCTGGGCAGCCGGGCCTATCAGTTTAACGGCTCCAAGTGCTCTGCTTTTGAGAAGAGCTCGGTGGGTGCGGCGTGGTGCTGATTATCTTCTGTTTGTTTTTCTTTTGGTTAGTTGTATTGATGCTTCTGTATCCTTTTCAGGCTGCAGCTTTTCTGCAGGATTTGGAGAGCAAGCGTAATGGACGCTGCAATACTTCCGTCTTGGATGAAGCCGACACACCACAGGATGTAGGTGTTTTAGTCACTGGGATCTCTTTTATTTTCTTTCTCCTCTCCTGCAGCACGAATTCTGGACTGCGCTACCCGATGTACCTGTGAAAGAGCTAGAACCTCCCAAAGAAGTTATCAAGTCGCTCTACAAGTAGGTCTACATTTGTCATATATAACGACTGCTTCAGGTTGTCTGACTCTAGTGGAAAATTGGAGTTGACGATTGTGAGCGAGGGATCGGCTTCCAAGCATGACATTAAGCCCGACGATGTCTACATAATCCTCACCAAGGAGGGTCTCTTCGTCTACATAGGCAAGGATTGCTCTGTTTTGGAGAAGAGAAACGCTCTTTCTAATGCCCACGTAAGCCGATGGTTGCACTGTGCCTCGAATACTTATTCAATGGCCATGGGATTGGACCAGTTCATTTTCTTTTTTTGTAGAAATTCTTACAGACCTGCCCCAACCCTTTCTTGCCCATCACCGTTGTGACTGATGAGCAGGCAGAATCATTCCTAAAGGGCATTTGGGATGAGTAGGCAAGCGGTGTAAGATTCGTCTCGACTTCGACCGAACAAAACGCAAATTATGTCTCCAATGCTTTGCTTAATCTATCATATCAAGTGCCTTAAGTTGTATTCTTATTCTAATCTCGATACTCGTTACTGCTTTAAATAATTTCGATAAAAAAAACATGGTTAATGTGCACATCTTGTTGTTACTGTTGCAAGGGCTATGGATTAATCCCACTATTTACTCTGGAGAAAAACACTTGAGAACGTTTGGACTGATCTAGATCACGCTCGTGTTTGAAGAGGGTAGTTTTCACTCAGGTGTTCCGTCCGTGGTCTCGAGGTCAGACTCGTGATCTGACATTTTGCAACGGGTGAAAAGCCTTCGCATGCTGTAATATTGATTAACTGATGTATACATATTTAGAAATAAAGTATGTTGTAGGTTACACAGCCGCTCGAACGCGTGTCTGTTGTCCTGGGTGCGAATCGTCACTTCCCAGCACGCACACTGACTGGTGGGGTTGAGTTTTATCCTACGTTAGAAGCTTATCACGGAGTGGGGTTTGTCAAACATCAACTGGAAAACCTCTCAACTAACGCAGTATGCATTAGGGTTTACTTTTGCAAAAAGCGTACTTATTGGGTGGTTGGCTTTCAAGGCATGATTGATCTTTTAGCCCGACGCTTTGACATCATGGACGACAAGAAGATCAGATTGTTTCTCATGCGTCATGTTCCCAAAGGTTGCTTCTGTTGATTTTGATGGGGGACAGGGAAAGTGGATAGCCAAATTGCCCACATAGTCCTAGGAAATGCTGACCGGGAATTACTTCGAGTTGTCATTATTAACCCATAATTAACAAATGTTTCCGAATTTAAAAGTAAATTTTTTGCCATAAATACCACCGCTAAGTACTCGAAATCGGAAAATCAGCTGAGTTAGAAATGGTACTGGATCGCAGCGGTTTCAACTGGAAATTAACCGCTGTACTTTGTCATTAACGCTTGGTTAGAAATAATAGGTAGTCTTCCAACAGAACTTCTCAATAAAAGATGCTTCTCACTGATCTTTGCTGTCAGTCTGAAATATGGCTGAGGTTCCATACTTATCCACTCCTGTCTCGCCTGTTACTGCCACCGGGCGATGTGAACTTGGACTCATTTCTCCCAGGTACATTTTACAATAGCTCACGGGTGTATTTGTCAAGCCTTTCAATTGATGTTAAAAAGGCAGGCATGGGTTGTGTGGGCTGATGCTATTAATATTTTTTGCTTACCTTCAAAAAATTTGATTTAGCTTACAATGAACCTGGTAATTCAGCCACTCACTTACGGCTGTGACGGGGAAGCGGGAAAAATGGTAATTCAAAAGAGCGAAATGCTTAGGGGATCCTTCTCGCAACCCAAATCGTAGACTAGATACTGAAATGCGGACTTACACCAAGCTCCCAACTTCCCTAGGTCTGATGCTAAATTGACGTAGCCACAGATACCATGTCTGCGCTTCAGAGCCAAAAAGGCTACTAGTCCAACGGCAGATTGAAAAGTATTGCTTGAAAACTACCTAATTTTTATTCCCATTGATAAGATTAATTAACCAGTGGGCGGGCAATTACTTGGGTTAACAAAAGACGTTTCCTTCGACTGCCCTAAGGATTGATTTGCTTGTCACTGCACCAGTGACTGATCGAATCTGGTCCACTACAGTACACTTAGAGGGTAGATTTGTCGAATTTAAAGAATAAGCATTTTTTTCACCTTTTAAACCAGAATTAGATTCATTGTGGTGCAAAATTTTATCTATTCTCTTGACTAATTAATAATGGATCCTGAACATTAGGATTTTTTCGAAGCTAAACAAATAATTGGAGAGGATTTGAAGTTGCTCTATTCTTGAAAACGTACACAAAACAGTTTATATGCTTACCCATCCTTCCTTTAGAAGCGGCTATCTTGTTTCGAAAAGACTTTTACCCCGAATGTGAAAGGCATATTATTTTAAGCAATTGAAGAGTATCATAAACCAGTTAATTCCCCAATCAGACCTTTTGCCGTGCAATGCATCGGTTTCTTTGCAATTTTAGCCCTAGAACTTAGAGTTAAAGACGTAATGTATCAATTACAGGAAATGGTACAGCGAGAATTTGATGAGATGTTTGAAAGTGCCAGCGTTGCTTTCCGTAAATGTTGTGACTGATTAGCAGAGCCACCGTGGAAAATAAAGTATTAACTGTTGTCTCAAATGCGATGATCACAAACCTTATCCAAATAGCACTCATTTCTTGAGTAGTTTTAAAAAATTAATCCTAAGTGATAGTTATATAGGACTATGGACTAGCAAATGTTTTTGTTCTCCAGAGCTCGAATTGTTAGAAAGCTCTGTAAATTCTCCAGTTCTTCTACTTTGTAGCCTCATTTGTGTGAGCCCATTCCGCGCCATGGATCTAGCTTCTTCCCACGCATAATGCACTATGATGCTACGATGAGCCAGACTAAACAGTTGATCGAACTGTGTGGTGGGCCTGTTTAACATGCTCTCCATGAATCAAGTGTATTTTTCAACACCACAACGTTTCAAATCAGTAGCAACACAGATACCATTTAGATAGGCTTTTCTTATCAGTGGAACGAGATGTCACCACTCGTGTTTCTCTTTATTTTTACGTACAAAGAAAGTTCTTGCACATTTTGCCAAGATGTTTCCGAGACGTAACTCTCAGGGTTAACGCTTTTCCCATTTCTGGAAGGGTCCAATGTTAAATACTTCACCCGCTTTTGTTAAAGCTCCATTCCCGATTGCTAAACATAACACTTTAGATTCCTGCTTTCAAAAATTAGACGAGTGGCTTTAAATCTACAGGACATTCATTCAGATTTAATTTTCCTTTAGAGGTCAGAGTTTAAAAACGAAACGGTTTTGCCAAGTTACTTAAGATTTGTGGAATCTTTGATTTTTAATCCAGACGCTGGTACCCATACTTGCGGGTAGAATTATTCGCTTCAAATTTTAGATTTTACCAACGTTGGTTGACATTTACCGCAACGCTTGGATCAATCTTTCTTCCCTAAAGAATATTACCCTACATCCACTTTTCCCGATTACTGTATGTCAAGAATCCCGAACTACTGCCACGTCATGGCAGTCAAATATTGAAGTGAAGCGCTTTAGAGACTCGGAGATTGGTCATATCGGCAGGTGATGCAGGCACCAACAGGTGTAAAATACTTATACACCTCCGCTACATTTTGGACACAAGGCACTTGTTTGTGCTGCATCACCCATCAATAAGCCCACCGATATCTCATTGGTATTTTTCGTAAGCCACTCGTCTTGCATCATTCCGAAATTATAGGATATTTTAAGAAAATTATCATCTTATGACTATCCTCCTTCACTAGCTATCAAAACGGTTGATGTTGAGGCACCTTTGGCTAATGACTTCTGAACATTTTAATAAATACTGCGAACGTATAATCATGCTTGTTTCCAGCTTAAGTTGCTCAATACACACTTTCGCATATACCATCCGCTTATTTAGGCTTTAAACTCTTCGCTATCCAATTCGGCGGTTACGGTATCAAATAAATATTCTCAGATGATAAAGGAGTTGTCGTTGTAAAAGAGTGACGGTAAGTTAGCCGTCCTCAAAATAGCACACGCGCTTGGATGGGCTTGATTCTGGTGGAATTGACGTTTAGTACACTATAAAAAGGTCTATTTGCCAGGGGGCCAGTATTATTTTGGCTTGTAGGAGTTGTAAGTCAAATAAAACTTAGCACCTACCTAAAAAATATGCTGATGTTAATGCAGTCAAGCGAAGCGATGACAACGCACAAACACCTGCGGCACGCACTCAAACGTTTGTATGGTTGAGACGACACCTTTGTGTGTCTCTAGTGCGTCTACCTTCCGCAGTCAATTAACTGCAACACACGTCTTCTCTACCGAAATCAATTCTTACTTTGCGTAAACGTCTAATCACTTTTGGTAAACCAGCCGTAGCCGCCGTAGATTGTAGTGGGTAGACACCTCTCCATATTATCACACAATCCAGCAAGATTACGGTCACGAGTTTTGGGGGGAGCAACAATCATTGCAGAATGTGATTTACTACAAACGCAATAACCCGTGAAAATCCTGCGGCCTTCGATCAATTCATGCATTGGTGAATTTCTTCAAATAAGTGTAGGTTACCGGAGCGTGGGAGCGAACCCACGCAAAGGGCAAGCATGAGCCGCGCAAGATTGAAGCCGCACGAGCCATGTCAACCATGATTTGTCGCAATAGTAATAGTCAAGTTAGTTTTAAATCATCAGAACCAATAAATTAAGTATGGGATTAACACGAATTTTTGAGTTTTTAAAACAGTTTGCCAAATAAGATATGGAACCGTGACTCAGCTCAGTCAATTTCAAAATCGTAATTTAGCTCAAACTCCTAGACACAATACTTATGTTAAAAATGTGCCTTTTAGAGAGGAATTGGACCGTTGACTCAAAACCCGTGATTGAGGAGTAGTCAGCATCTCCAAACCAGTGCCGCGGTTTCCCTGAATCTGTGTTTATCTCCATTGACTCTAACTAGTAAATATGTCCCAATCCAATGAGTCTCTACGTTCTATGGGTATGAAAGCCTGGGGAGAGGAGATAAGCGGGGGTTGTGCTACACTAAATTTTCTGCAATGAATAGCGAACATTTTCTGGTACAAAAAAAGCATTTAAAATATTACCAATTCAATTGGACCAAGCATCGGTAAAGTGGCCATTAAAAGATAGTTTTAAGAGGCATTTATCAAGCAGCTAACTTTAAAGATTAAGTACTTTATAAGATTTAAAGTGGGTAATAAATAGGAGCATGGACAAAACCCGCAAGAATAAAAGTTCAAAAATATTTATTAACAAACCTTTACTTATGTTGTTTCAATATTTCTTCCAGAGAGGTGTCGGGCGTACGAATCGAAACTCGTGGTTGAAGCGTCAACTTTCCGTAACCCGAAGGCAGGTTCCGTGTCCACATCTCCCTGAACTTGTACTTGCCCTCCCCACTTACTTATCCCAATAAACATGACGAAATTGAATCAACCTGAGTGTTCTAAGAGTGTGAGGGCCGGGGAAGAGGAGATCTACAAACTCCGTCCTACATGAAAGTATGAGTGAAGTGGGTTTCCAAATAAAGCCACCTAATAAATTCACAGCGCACGAAGCAGCTTGGTTTTTCAAAGTATGGATGATCGGTGTTTTCTTCAAGTGGAATGACTAACTGACAAGTGGGTTGGGAAAGTTATTTAGGGTTGAAATATTCATTCACTACCTGCAACTGATTTAAACATGGAAGATCAATCTACAAAATAACTGCCTTCAGAAAAAATACCATGTTTCATTGAAACCCTACAGTTTATCGTTTTGGCTGGAAAAGTTTTAAAGTAGTATTATACTTAACATGACTAATAATGGACGTTTTTGTTAGTCTGTTGGTCTACTCTTAAAATCGTTTAGTAATCTCAAGGTCAACCAGGTCTTATGCGTGAAAATAGCGCAGTCGTGGGCTACTTCCCATATTTTTTCTGATGGGTGGGTTTTTGAATAAGCTGTTCCGTCTTTTAGTAAAACTGTAATCGGGTAGCAGCTTGTGCCACTGAATATTAAATTCAATGGCGTAGAATGGAATGATTTTGTGGCTGGTGCCGTACTTTTCTAGTTTCTTGCTCCTAGTAACAAAATTTTATTCACTCACATGGTCTTGGATTTGCATGCATTTACTGGATTCAAAGGACTTTTACGTCCTCGGTCTTCCCTGTACTTTGTTTACAATGCCAATAAATGTGTGTATGGGTTAATATTTCTAGGTATTTTCTTATCGATCTCATTATATTCCATCATAGTTAGCAATCTATAACCTTGTAGATCCAGATTGTGTGCTATATAACTGTGGGAGCTTCTATCTTCTTAGCTGATCACAGTTGTTAACAAATCATCTTACTTCCTTTTTTTGCCCCCGGTTTTAAGATCCGTCGATATGCACCAAGCGACGCAAAACTGAAGAAGTCAAGCCTCCTCCAAGACAAGTCGATGCACATATCCGAGCCTTTATAAATGCTGTTATCACGAGTGCGCAGAAATCTACTGACTCGTCTACGAGTACAAAGAGCAAGCTAGCTTCTGTCGTAGGCAAGTCGTTTGTTAAACGCAAACGAAATGTCCCTCGTCGTGACGCCTCAACCCAGACAGAGGAGGAAGATTTTATTGAACCGCCAACTCCAGTGCCTCAACCTCCTCCCTCACCCACTGCCCTCCTGTCCGAAAATGCGGCTGCCTACTACGCGTCTACCGCCACCAGTGAGGGCCCCTTCTCTCTCAACGCCGGGCCTTCCAACACAGATCTGCAATACTTCGCGTCCAACTCCGTCTCCAAAATCTCCTCCTCAGAGGTGCGTCAGCTCCTCACCAATTGGATGCAACAGTACGAACAGTGGTTCTACCAGAATTTTGGCGTCGACGTCAATTCAGTCCCTACCGAAATACACACAGCTCATACTCCTGCACCGCCTCCCCCTCCTCCTCCTCCACCACCACCACCGCTCCAACAAGATTCTGACAGTGATAGGGCTGTCGCCTGTCAAACGCCCTTCCGTATCAGCTCTGGGCCGGTTATGTATCCTCAACCGCTAATCTACGCTCCTGCGAGCATGAACCCTCTAGCTTCGATTTTATCGTCTCAAGTAGCCGCACAGAACTTCCTTTCCAGGTATATCATCACCCAGCAGACACAGCAACAGGAACAGATAATGGCAGTTGCTGCAGCAGCTGCTTCCGTGGCAGCGCTGCCGACACCCCTAGTGTGCCTTCCTCCGGCCAAACCTCGTCCTACGGTTGCTCCTGTCCCGGTAGCTGAGGCGGACGCGGCTGCTGGGATCGATCTGAAAGTGGCCGAATCGCTGGAGCTCTGTGGTCCTGTCACCCAGTACGGCGCCTATGGGATTTTGCGACCCTGCCCCCTCGACGTGATGGATACGCAGAACAGCAACGGCCACAGGGGTGGGACTCAGGAAGGTGGGGAGGAACTGCCGATCTACATCACTCCTGAGGACTATCGCAACAGGCCGCACTCTTGGATGCCGCCTCCACCACCCACTGTGTTGTTAATAAGGAAACAGACTCTGGTGTGTGTGATGCAGGCAAGTGAGCTGTTCAGATGCTTCATTCCATCCTGTCTCACGTGAATAGGCAAAAATGTAATCGGGACTGGTTCATAATTCCCCACTACAAGTAGCATTAAGTCCAACGTCGCTTTTGAATGCGCTATCAAGGTTTTAATTTTGAGGCTGAATTTTGTTTCACCTGACAGGCGAATTGTCGTGACCTATGTAAATTTAGCAATGACTGTTTTTCAGTTTGCACTGGGCAGTCCCATTAAATATTTTATTTCAGATAAAATTTGGTGCCGAAATAATTTCATTTCTAGGATATCTAAAACTACACGAATTCCATTAGCTGTTTTGGCTCAAACCCCTTTCTCTGATGGTGTTTGAATAACTGATAAATTAGTATGCATAACAAATGGTTTCCTTAAAATAGCACCTAGATTTGAACATCCAATGTATTGTTACGTCGTAGAAGATACGTGGTGCCTTTTTCGTGCATTAGCATCACAAGGCCTCAGGTACCGTGCTAGCATTCCAATTCCCATAAACAAAGCTCCCTTGTCATCACTCGGTTTCGTTTCTTCATAGTTTGTTTTCGAAAATCTGGATTTTTACAATGTTTTGAAGTTTTTCGATGGAGAAATTCGTTAAACTTGCATGTAATTTTCCGGGCAGCTGCTATAACATTTTTACTGAAGCTTTATTTATCAAAAGTCTTACTTGTTTGGTTTGTCTAAGTTTCTGAGATATGGTTTTTCGGTCATCCTGCCATTCTTATAAATTTGCGGTAATTTCCTACAGATGGTGCTGTTTCATTTGAAGTTATCTCATTTTATCTTCAATTTGTTGGTCGATGCTTTCCTTTGCTTAAAATATCACGTACAATTTCGTTGAGTTCCCTTCACGTTGCGGAGTTCAAAGTGAAAGTGTCGTCCATGCACTTTAATTTAACCGAGATGTAGCCTTGCGGGGAATAGCTAAACAGGGTGACCTATTTACTTACTCTTTTGGGGAATTCGTTCTAACCGTTCTTTTGCACACTCATCTATTGACGTTGGCGCAATTGGCCCATTGATGGATTTGCCCACTTGTGGTAGAAACGGCTACATTAACCGCAAATGGGAAGCTTTTTGAAGATCCATGTCAAAATTTCTAATTATAGTTCGTTGAAATAGTTCTTTACTTTGAATATCTTCGCCTGACGTGCGCCGTCAGTACACTTTCCCAAAATGTCAAATTACTGAATGGGGCGGGCAAATCTGTTCTTTATTGCAAAATTGATTTGATAAAAGGCCATTTTACATGGAAGGTACTGTGTTATCGATTATGACGTTATGTCATGCCTTTGCCTTCTCCCCTAGCTACAAATTCGCAAGAAGGCGCATGAAATAGACGTGCGGAAGGCGTCCGCCACCAAGGCTCCCGTCAACATTGACTACGTTGCTGCTTTAGAAAGCACGGTGGAGAAGTACGTCAAGGTCAAAGTCACCTACGTTTTCAACCGGATCAACCGCCTCCCCACCAAAGCTCAGACACCCTTCATTTGTGGTCTTAAGGTGAGTTAGGCTGATTTCTTTCGTACTTTGTTGTCCATTTTAATGTTTATCATTACAATTATGGTCTTTTTGAAAAATCAAATTTCTCTGGAAGTATTTATTGACGTTCCAGGGATTCAAAAGTCACTTTTGGTCATTTCAAAAGCGTGAAATCCGATCCGAACAGTTTATTTCCACTCCAATGAAAAAAATAAAGTGGCCGTATTTAGCGTCAGTGGAACCATCCACGGAGACTGTCGTTTTCACGAGTCCCTTTGCATCAAAATGATGCATCATCCTTGTTAAATAAGAATTTTCGGAATGTTTGTCCTGTATCCAAATTCTCTAAAATTGTTTAGATTATAATGACTGTAAAACACTGTATTTGTAATTTTTCATTTTTATTCGCCTGGGTAGATCCATATATCGTTTGCATTCTCTACATTCTCAGCGGGACAGTCATGTTCACTCACTTGTTCTAATGTTGTCGATTACGACAATGCGGGAATTAATTGCCAAAATGGGTTTTTTTCCGACTGAAGGAAACGAGGATTCCTCCATTGGTTGCAACTAGCCAATCTTTCGAATTGCTAATTTTCGTTATTCCCCCGACTTCCAAAGCAATTTTCACCTTCCTTTATACAAGTCAACTATTTGTCAAAATATATTGCAAGGAATATGGGTATGGCTTGGGGCTGGACGAATTAAAGCCCGAACTGATTGACCATCTGTTTTTGCAGGACTCTCATCAGATCGCTTTTACAAAAAAGGTATTTTCGTAAGCAATATATCGCGCAAACTTTGACTGGAACCTACAGAAAGCATTATTTATTTGTCATTTGGGACCTTCCCAAAAAAACCTTTCAAATCAGGTTTTATTGTCACATATGTAGTAAAATAATGCAAAATTCTGTACTGTTGAGGTGAGGAAAAACTCTTAAGCGTATCCATTGACAGTTATTGCTTGAAGTTGTATTGTTTATCCTCTGGTTAAAACCCACATAATTGATAAAATAATATTACAGATGCATTTGGAATAGTTCTAAGCTTACCTTTCAACTCATATTCTTCATTTGCAATGCGTGCGAATACAAGGAATGTCGGAAGGCCTTGAAGTCATACATATTTGGGATTATGGGTTCTGTTGTGGCATTAGCCTAGTCTCTGGAAATCTCGAAGCACGGTTATTCCGTATCCTAGAATTTAAATGATTTTATTTTAGGAATCCTCCCTTCCCCAAATCTTCTTATTTTCTATTTAATTGAATGACCGATTACTAGGAATCGCCAACGGAGAATTTTCCGACTACTTGTTTTATTGCCAGAAAATTAGTAAAATTTTTATTGAAGGTTGTTTGCGTATATGCTGAATATTTTTACTCCCGCTTAGTTCATCCTTCAGTGGAATCGTGGTTAAAATTAAAATCGCACACATTCACGTTGGGAATCGATCCTTGTTGACAAATATTAGTTATGTCTTTATGTCTTTATACTTTACCTCTTAAATGTGTGCGCTGCAAAGGCTACCATTATTATTAATTTACGTCATTCTCAAACGAAATTTCGAGTCAATTCCATATTGTCTCCTATGATGCGACCGAAATCCCGTTTTCACTCTTTTGTATGTTTAAACAAATTTTTCTTACATTTAGTACATTTCTTCAACTTAAATCCTCAGAAGACTTATTTTCAGCTGCTGGGAAATTTGCAGTCAACCTCGAGATCAAAGTAGTGTTTCTAACCACACTGTACGATATTTCAATGTCTCGACGCGATTTTGTACCCATCTCTACGGTTAAATCTACTAATTTCAGCACGTCGTTTTGGAGTCTCCTTCCATTGAAAAAGAGTCAGTGCTACCATTACCCCCGACTCAGTCCCCGGTAACGGCAGAGAATACTAACTGCGAGCCAGAAGAGAATATCGTCGGCGTGACAAACAAGCCACCGTCCTCTAATTCCTTGGACATCGATGAAGAGGACGCAATTGCTGATAGTGGTGGAGAGGAGGGGGAAGAGGATGTGGAGATAGATGCAACCTGCGAGGAGCACTCCAAAGCTATGTACATATGCGATCTGCTCATCGGTGATATTTTCATCTGTCAGGCCCTTGCCGACTGCAAACTCCAGGCCAAAGCATGTGCCGCGCGAGAGGTTAGGTGTCACTTTCATTAGTGCTTATGAAAGTCCGTCCCACCTCAACTATAACAGTCACAGGTTAATGTAACAGTTTTGTCCTTTGGTTACACAGATATGGCGGTGAGAGTGGAATGGTTCTCAAATTTGAGATGACCAGCTCTTACTTATTTACCTCTGCATGGGTTATCTTTAATTTGATTAATTTTAGATATAAGGAGCAATATTTGCCGTTTTTTTTTCTGGGAACACGAGTCTCTTAGCTGTAGCATTCAAGTTATCCTTGAAGAATTCGAGGCACATGAGTCTGAAAATAGTCTCATAAACGTGTGGAAAGATTGCTATCAGTATGTGGACTGAACCGTGAAAATCTGGGATGGGTAGCAAAATCAAATATAGAACTGGAACAAATGCTCCACATAACTATGAAAGTTTCATTACTTTGTAAGAGTGACAGGGTTTCTTTTGTATGTGCTTTTGATGGCCAGGCTTTTTAAAGTGGTTTGTTTTAAGTGTTGTTTCTAAAAATTGGTCCATGCTATTGAAGAAAACGCAACGACTTCGGATCATTGGGCTTGCTCTTTCTGCACCTTCATTTGTGTGTGTTGAATCAAATTTTATTGGGTAGCCATAGTTATGGTTATGGAAAGTTAAAGAAAGCTTGTAGTGATTTAGGGAATTTGACTACTTTTTTCATGACCTGTTGTTTCAGGCGCTGGTGCTTCTCTCAAGGCCCAACTTCCTCGTAGGCGGGGTTCGAACCTGGTACGGTAGCGAAGCCGGCTACAGTGGCGTTGACTACCTGACCCTGTGCCTCAGCCCCAAAGCGGATCAGGTGCCCCAGCTAACTCCCTTTCTGGCCGACCCACTGGTGCCCATCCCCTCCGACCAGCCGGTTAACCCCGGGGACCCTGCGGAGAGCTACAGAGTCTGCAACCCAAAACCATTTCACGACCTCTGGCTCTACACCGCCCTCCCTATCGCTGTCAATGTTGACAACGCGGTCAGTTTGTTTTGCATCCCATCACCCAGGCTCTTTATTTGCCCTATGTTAGCTCCAAATCTTTCCTTGGAAGAAAAAATCGCTAGTAGGTAAATCGGGTAGTTGACATTGGTCTTTTGCGAACCTTAGTCTAGACTGTCGTCAAACGTTGGACAAAGCTCGTAACCCCTTATTAGCCAAACTTTTCTCAAGGGAAAGGGCGCTCTGGGACAATAATTTAAATTTCATATGCAAATCACTTTCACTTGAGCTAATAACCTAGGCAGTTGATGCATTTTTTATCCTTTTATGCGAATTCGGGGAGCTGCACCGTCGTTATTAAGAAGCGGTAAATCGGAAAGTGCATTAAAGATTTCACCTCTATGAGAGTTTAATTAATGATCTTGCAGTCCCTATGAACCACAAATTTAAACTGTATTTTGGCGTAAGCCTAATTTCCCTGGCAATTTGAAATATATAGCGGTTCCCAGTGGATTCTAAAATGAATCATCGCCGGTGTTTTCTTCATTTCGCATGACTAGTTTTCATTCTTTTCGTTTTTGCCACTTCAGGTATAACTGTGAAGAAGAGGTTAATAGAGAATTCTACTTAATACATTTGGTCTTTACATGAATTTAAGAAATTGAAGTGGTTGAAGCTGTGTAATTTTAGATATTTCAACTAAGTAGTCTTTTATTGTTAGTTATATGAAGTCTAGTATCCCCTGTTAACGAATCTGCTCCGTTTTGAAAATGGTTTCCTTTGTTTGTTACCAAAAGACACATCTACGAAGAGGTCGTGCTCTTACATGTCAAAATACTTTTTGAAGGCGTCACCCTTTCCAAGACAAGGGAGTCAGTGGACTTGGCCAAGTAACTTTAACATATGCCTTTTTCCGATCTGAATTGAAGCCAAACATGGTTTCAAACATTCACATCAGTAATTTTTGGTGTTCAATTAATGTTGATTGAACTATAAAATTTCTTCAGTTCGTTTTGGAATTTCTTGAAGGGCTTTCCTTTTTACTCCAACAAAGTGCATCTTTATCTTTCATTATCTCCTGTGCTAAACTGTTTTTCTGTTACTGTTTAGGCCCATCGTCGTTTCCGTGGTCCTTTTCATATCACTTTATCACTCACCAATTTGACTAATTGTTCTTTACGGTTTACAGAAAGGAGCCAAGTATCTAGGGGAAGTGACGATCAAATGCCCCAACTTTTGGATTAGCAACACTAAATCTTGTCGATAATTCATGCATATCTTGAGATGCATCCGCTTATATTGCGACTTTTAGCCCCTCTTTACCAAATTCGATACTAGGTTTCCCTTCTGGATCATCTTCATTAGCTACACACTCGCCAATAATGGGGTGAAAAATCATTTGTTTCTGAAAATGTTTTTTGAAGAGATGGTGGTAATTGATTCTAGCATCTCATCTTTTACACCCACTGATCTGATGTTAGTGTTTCTGCACCTAAAATTCACTGACTACCTTACCCTTTCAAATGTTTATCATTATCAAGGCCTACCATTAGTACTGATTGCTTTTGCTTCGATTGCCAGAGGGTAGTCCTTTTGAGCTTAAGTCATACAAATCAGTGTATGCTTTTTTATGGAACAGTTGGTACCGGAGCAGTTTCTGGCTCAGTCGGCGGAATTCAGCCAAATGACGGTGAATTTTGAGGTGGAGTTCGACTCCGCCAAGGGTGTCTTCACAGCCTTTGGGCTAGTGGACGCGCAGCGCTGCGTCAAGGCGACCGCTATCAACGTTGCCATAGCCCGCGCCAACGCCGCCTCTCGCCTCCTACGACGACTAAAGACCTCACAACCGGTCGTCGGCCTCTTGCTTCCTCCCCCCGATCGTGAGTTGCTAATGAAGTGTACTCAGTAATACACTGTAGATTCAGGTTAGTTATCAACCTGATGAGGCAGTAGCCGATTGCAGGCCGCTGAAACTAATATAATCAACGCAACCGGTTAATGGAACTGCTGCACTCTTTGCCTGTTGAATCAGGCAGTAACATTTATTACAAGCAACTTTTGTGCCAATATGCAATTACTACCTGGATTTGATTTGTTAAATTTTAAGTACGTGGTGTGTTCTGGAGCTCTCTGCAGGTTTTTGTTTTCCATGGAATTTATAAAGTTAAGCTAATTTCCATGGAAACATAGAGGCCCTTTATTCTCGGTGTTTGAGGATACTTCTAGTTTAATTTCGAAAGTCAATCTTGACAGCTGTAGGATTGAAAAGTAGCATTGGGTAGGCTTGTTCGTTTTCATATTAGAATGTCGTGGTAGGTTATTTTTACCCTCGAACCTGAGCAGTCGGAATAATTGTAACCCATGAAGCAGAATAACTGACGTCCCTTAGGTAGACTTTATGATTCCTTCCAAACGCTCTCGTTTGAATTAATTTTAAAAATGAATGCTAACCCTAACTTGACAACCCATTTTAATTTTATCCTGTAATTCTTGTTTACTTTGTACTCCCTTTCAAGAAAATCCTTGTTTTTCTAACAAACAATTGTCTTTTTTCTCATTTAATGGCATCTACTTAAAACTTATTAGAAGTGAGCCTAAATCAAGATTTTCTGGAGTGGTTTTGTGCAATTTGTATTATGATTTTACCCAATTATGCTCTGCTAGTTAACATTAGCAGTCAACGAAATCACAAAGAAAAGCATAAGAGTTTCAGTGGTTAGGCTATGTTGTTTGATGGTTTGACATGCGGCCTAAACGTTATCTGATAAACGCCTTACATCTTAGCTGAAGTAACTGGGAAAATCCAGCAATTACTGTACTCACTTCATTGAAAAGCCTGCGCTGTTTTGAGATCTACCACTCATGTCCGTACTTGATCTTTAGTCGTCTCTAATTGTTCTGTCCATTTGCATATTAGCCGGAGATGAGGAACTGGTCGGTCCACGAATTCAAGACGACGAGGACTCAATGCACCCGCTGTGGGGTCTGACGGAGGCCAGCATTGTAGATAGTCTGATGTGGGGCAAGCACGAGAAACAATTCGCCCTCCCTATCGAGCATCTGGAGGCACATTGTGAAATTTTTGGCAGTTCTTGTGAGTCATTTTTCGGAATACCGTCTAATGCCATATTGACTTCCCTGTATATTGGAAAGTGGCTTTATGTATAAAAGTTGTGTCACTCTTGGAGGAATACTTTCGAATGGAGTCGATTGTATATTGGGGGTTCAAAGCTACTTTGAGACTCAAATTCACAACAACCATCTAAATAGTCATATTTCGATAAATCCATCTCTATTTCGTTTTAATTGAACTGCGGTCTTATCTTTTCCGCATTATTCCTTAAATGTGTCAGAATTGCTTTCTTGACTGAAAAATTGTGACCATTTATCTTTCACTATTGTTAGTATTCGATCCATTAGAAATTGGGATGCCTTTGTCAGTAAGCTATAATATTTTCACTCAAATTGAACATTTGAGTCAAAACATCCTTCTTATTGATCCGTCATCCATAGCGAGTACTCGTCGTTCTTTTTGTTTTAAGGGGACTATTTGTTGTTTTGTCCTTCAGTTCTCAACATGGATTTCTTGCCAAACTCCGTTTTGTTAGAACTTAATAATCTCGCTTCCTCTTCCAACATTTGCTTAGCCGCTAACAGGAACACAGATCCAGAGTTTGCCGTAGCAGGAAGTGGTTTCTTCACCTCCCATGAGCACCTGGAGCAGTACCTGGAGGCGTATGCGGCCTCAGCACTGGTGACCCCGCTACGCATATCACTGCGCGCCCTCCCCCACGCTCTGTGGCATTTTGCACGCACCGCAGCGCACTCCTGGGGCCTCCTCACTCGTATCGAATTCGAGGTGCCGGAACATTTGAACACCGCCTTCCTCCTCGTCTGCAAGCGCGCACCTCTGCCGCGTCTCAAACGCACTCTCTTTGAGCGCACTGAGGTCGGTGTCTTCTATCTTCTCTCCCGCGGCGATCTACCTCCTCCCGCTCTCCGCAGTCTCTCCGAGGCGGACCTCCTTGATGCCGAACCGGCCTCTGCTCCGACCTCTCCTTCCGCCGTTTATCCCCCAACACCGTTATCGGATCCATTCAACCAAGAGGATGACGAGATGGGGATGAACGACTCACTCACTCGCATGGCACGCACTTTCCATGCCACGGCGATAAAACATGAGGCGTCAGACACAGTAGCGGCAGGAGCGGAAGTACCGGAAGCGGCGGACTTGATGCTGGTTTCTGCAGAACTCAATCAGCCCTCCAACGCCGTGGAGATCCTCGACGACTTGCCGCGGCAGCTGATTCCTGGCATCGATTTTTAGCATTCGTTCTCTCTGTGTGTGTGAGAGAAAAACTCCTACGGCATTAGTATCTCTCCCTTTTCTATCTCTGTTTGTGTATCGATGTGTGTAGATTTGTGTGTGTGCTTGCCCGAATATGATTTTGTTTGGGTGAGAGCTAAGTGTGGATGTGAACTAGAGTTGGTTTTATCAATTTTGTTTTATTCTCTTTGTCTCTCACCACTACTACTGGCGGAGGAGGGCAAGCTGAATGACGGAAAGGGGCGAGAAGGGGGATCATTTTTATAGGGAGAGGGAGAGAAGAAACTCTATCAATTGTGTAGTAGATTGGAGGAATAAATATTTTACTCAGATGCTGGTATTTTCTATCTGATTCTCTTTTTTGCTGTTACCACAAAGTTGGTTGAATTTAAATAAATGGTTTGTGGAGGAGGGGTTTATTTTTTTAATTGCAGTTATTGTCTGTTGATAGCAATTAGAGTTTGCTCTGAAATGCATTTATTGTGCAATTCTTGGTACTTTTCTGTTACTTGTACATTAGTGTATGTTTGTACCACTTTCGGCCACTAGTGCATTCATTGACTGAATGCAGAATTGGTGATCATAAGTTTGTTGATTGTGTTTTGTCTTCTTGATAAGATACATAATCTTAATCTTAAAAGTGAATGGCTCTAATCAGCAACCATCGCTAATCTCGATAAATATTCCCCTGATCTAGGATTCTTCAAAATACTGACCTCCTGTTAAGACTACAAGTTGGCGGTGGAGGGTTTGCTGTTTGTTCCATTTTTGTTAAAGGCTTGAGTTATGGCTATAGGGCTGGATCGCGCTAATAGCACATCAACTGCCCGCTTATCATCAAATTAGTAGTTAACCCTCTTTCCTCTCATTTGCGCCAGTCTTCATGCTTTATTTTAATTATGCTGCCATATATTTTAATAGTATGCTACATTTTATCTTAACAACCGTAATAACCTAACGTTCATACTCGATCACGTGCTTCATTAAAGATTTTGAGGCGCAGGCATCTCATGGGTTCAGGAACAACAATTTGGTATAGATGTGCTCGAATCAGTGCTTCAGTGACTCCTTGTATTTTGAGTTGCTCAATTAAACTGACGCGAGTGGTCTCGTTCCACATTTGATACCTCATATGCTACGGTATTGTTACTATTAGTGCTTAGCTTTCGGGGCTCTATTGGGTCGCCAGTTATTACATACCTCAACTCATTAGGAAAGATTTGGCCATTTTAAGTGTAATACCCTTGTATAGAAATGGGCTGGTGGTTGGTATGCACATGGCTTGGTGGTTCAAGGTTTCTAGGCTCAGTCTGGGCGGCGATACTTATGTGGTTCTGGTCGAGTCGGGTGCTGTCTTGCAGGGCTATGGGCTTAATGAACCTTTTAAAATACCTTTGGCGTACTCATGTGCTTCGTTATCGTTTCACTCCGTGCAAGGTTTGTCAAGTTGCAATGGATATCAGTGGCGGATGCTAAATAAAAACATCTACGTTTGTGTCAATGGTTTATGCATTTCGACTCCTCATCTCTATCCAGATGTAGTAACAGTCTGTTTTTATATTGTGAAAGTGCTAACGAACAAGAGTCTTTATACCCCTAATTATGGTATTTTATAAGTTCGAATTAGTTTCTGTTTTAGTCTGTTAGTTGCTGAGACTCTAAAGCGTGGTAAGATTGTGAAGATGTTTTACTGTGTGATTCTCTAGCTATCTCGGTGTTGACGCAGCTACTTTTTAGCATATCTGCTTCGGTACTCATTTTAGCTAAGTCTTAACTGTTTCACGATTCCAGAGGAGTTAATTGATCCGATATTTTCGACTTCGGCCTAACTATATTGATTCACCGTGTTGTCTTGCACGATAACGTCTTAAGGTAACTAGGATTCTGGAGCAGCACTCTCTTCGAAACTGACGGTTTTTCAGGAAGTATTACCTGATTCTGTAGTAGATCGGTAAGAGGATACGCCTGAAAGCTTTTGAGATATCCGTTCCCTCTGCTACTGCTGCTCATTTCGGGTCGATCGACCATCTCTGATCTCCCTTTCCTAATGAATTCATTGGCTTCTCCCCTATTTCCATGGAGCTAACAAGTTGAGGAAGGGTCGCTAACAAGAAAACAGTGAGTTTAACCATTTGATGAGAGGCAGTCCTCTTGACATGTGGACGATAGTTTGACTGAGAAGCTCTGATGGTCATCTGCTCTTACTGCCTTCCCATATTTCCTCCCTTCAGTAAAATGGTTGTTCCAGTCTACTGATTGAAATTCTCTTGGACACTGCCTTCCTTTGAAGATGGTAAGTCACCGCCAATAGCCAGAGGATGAGACACCCCATTTGACTACCACATGACACTTTGTGCTGAGAAACGTCTGATGGCTCCGATTTGGGAATAATTCAGGCACTTTGTTTTACTTTCCAGGGGCATTGTGGTTCTTGGAATATGGACGACTCTAATATGTCCATAATTATCCCCCTACTCGACCCGATCAAATAAACGTGACTGTCTTGCCTTTTTGTCGTTTTGTATATTAACTTTCGTTCATATGAGATTTTTTATCTCTGCCTTTTATTTGCCTAATTTTGAAGAGCTTATTTCATGTTTGTTTAAAATCACGTTGGACAATCAGTCTCACACAATGTTGTTATGTTCGAAATTGTTGATTTCAAAAAAGAACTGGAGATAGTGCAAATAGTGGGGAATTTTGCGTCATCGTTTGTCCTAAGTCAAATTGGCTGATTTTGCAAGTGCCTCTTAGATTTTAGATCGTTCAAGATCCACGCAAATTCCGTTACATGGTCTGACCGGTGATAATTGAATATAGGTTAATTGTCGGCTTAGGAGTTGTTGGAATGCAGTTGAGTGTCTTCAAGCAAATTTGTTCGCTTGGGATTTGTAGCTTATCAAGCGCTAAATTGAGAAGCTGGGCGTGAGTATCACCGCAAGTCATAAGATCCCGTCTTGCAATTCAACTACCAGTTCTGTAATGAAATAGTTGATAAGGTGTTAGGAATTTGGCTCAGCATTAAAAATATGGCATAAGTAAGTGGTTTTATACTTACACCAGTCAACTAGAGCGCACGAATTAGCTGAAAGTATTGCGTTTCATTACAATAACCTTCTTTTCATCATGCATTCCTTTCATTAAATTGGAATATAATGAAATGAATGATAGTCGGAATGCCAAATTATGTCATTAGTGCTTTTATTTACCGCTCTAGAACAGGAACTACGTCCATCAATGTTTTAATTTCATTGGAAATACGGCTCTTATCCTCAAATCGTTCAACGGGATTACTGCTATTAGAAACGATAGAAAACCGTAAGAACAAAACCCGCACAGTTTTCACGATTTGCTAGTCCAAATTATACAAGAAGCCAAATTCCTTCAGTTGGACATTTACCTCACTGTGTATTCATCAAACTGATTAGATGCAGTGCCTTTGAAGGCAGTGACAACGATAAACAGACAGGTTGAAATAAATAGCAGAAGAAAAGCAATCGAGATTGTTTATTGAAAGCAAGCAAACACAGTGAAGTGATGGTGAGGAGGGGGAGAGAGCAGAGGTGAAAGGCACCAAAGGAGCACTCAAGAGTCGACGAGATCAGCTTTGAGAAGAGCGAAGTCCTTGACGAAGGGAGCAACGGTCCTCGTGCAATAAGCTGATGCAGAGGAGAGTGCACTGAAGCCAATGAACATGAGGGACTTGACGAGATCACCGAAAGCCCTGTCGACAGCCGCAACAACACTGACAACGCCCACGGCCTCCAGCCACTCCAGACAGGTGAGGATCTCTCCTCGACGCACCATGCTCCCACCACCACCACCACCACCACTACTGCCGCTACCGCCCTCAACTTCACTTTGAGGGAATGGTGATGATGGCGGTGGTGGTGGAGGAGGAGGAGGCAGAACGATGACGGCTGTGGCAGGAGCAGGCGAGTAGACGAGCCACTTCCTCCCTGCACCGCCGCTCTTTCGCCAAGCTTCCAGGTGTCTTGCTAACTCGGCGTCATCCTTCGGCACGGAGGCAAGGATTTCCAAGTGGTCAGGCAGAGGTGGTAGTGGTGATGATGGTGGTGGCGATGAAGGAGCTAGCCTTGCTGCAGAAGTGCTGACCCCCTCGTTGGTGCTGGCAGTGGTTGAGCGAGCGTCAAATATACGGCCGAGGCCAGGAATCGGGACTATTACAGCGAAAGTGTACCGTCATCTTGGAGGAACGCGTCATTTCATTTTCATTCACAACCATCATTTCGCAGTGCTGCTGCTCTGTCAGTAATTCCTCTTGTGTTGACAAACGCGTGAATTCGAACTGCCTTCTATCGATCTGTGCTTGAGAGCCAATGAGACGCGAGTGGGGGCTGCCCAATCAGACGTCTCACCTGCTAGTGGCTTCTACACTAGTCATCCACTAACTTTTTTCCCTTCATCTGCAGACTATCCGCTTGAAA